TTGTTTTCCGTTTAGTAAAAAAGGGAAGGGAGAAATAACAGTTAGACAGATGTATTTTCTTTGCAGAATTAGAAGATATTTGGGTTGGAGAGTGTCATAGGATAAGTTTTATCCCGATGTGTCAAGTGATTTTCGTGATATAAAATTCTAAGTCGAATCTGTACATTAAATATTTTTTGGCAAATCTTATTGAAATAGACATTTTTATCGATACAGAGGCCGAATCTATAGTTTTTAGAATTTCTGTCTGTCTGGCTGTTTGTTACCGCATCACAGAAAAACTACTGGAGGAATTTTGATGAAATTTGGTATGGCCATAGGTGGTTATCCGGGTCAACATATAGGATGCTTCTTACCGCGGGAAAATATCTCATTTCTGAGAAAAAATACATAAACTGGTTAGAATAAAACCTCAAGGATACTATATATACATATATATATGTAACTTACTAAATAGGGCAAAAACTATTAAAAATAGCTTATCTTAAAAGAATAATAATAATAGTGCTATTTTATTTGGTTTTTAGTCATCTGAACGCGGGCGGAGCCGCGGGCAATGCTAGTATTTATATGATGATCAAAACAGTATTTAGACAAGTCTACTTTTACTCTATAGTAATACTGTGACATTGAAAAGAATGTATATTTTCACCTTAAAACGCCCTATCTCCGGAACTGACAGTCAAATTAAAAAAAATATTTTTTGCAGCTATCTATTATAGAAAGTTATAGGTTATTTTAAAATATTCAAGTCTCGTTATTTTGCATTTTGTCATCTTCCTTTAATTTTCGGGGATCGACAGAGTGACAAAAATGATTCCCCCTAAAGAAAGTTACAGGTTATTTTATAAATATTCAAGTCTCGTTATTTTACATTTCGTTATCTTCCTTTGATTCCCCTCTCTCCTAGATATGCTCGAAATATTCGCACTACGATGAAAATAACCAAATGTTAATGTCGCCCCATCTAAATATATATTTGTCATTCGTTAACACCTGTCGCGTTCTCTTGATACATGCACGTGTAATACTCCAAAAACTACAAACTTTCATCCCCTATTTGACCAGTTTAAATCATGATTTTTTTTACAAATCGGTCCTATATCTATACTAATATTATAAAGGGGTAAAGTTTGTGAGTTTGTGGGTTTATGAATTTGTGACGTTGTAGTGGGAATCTCCGGATCTACTGAACCGATTTAGATGATTTGGTAAGAAGATAGTTTAAGACCCTGGGAAGGAAAGATACTTTTTATCCCGGAAATCATCCCTTAAGGGGATGAAAATAGGGATGAAAGTTTGTAGTGATAAGCTAGTTTTAAATAAATCTATTTTATCCGTTTTTTTTCGCGAATTTCTCTCGATTTTTAGTTCCAGACATTTCTACTAAGACTTTTGAAATATCAAAAATGTCAGTTTCTTGTGCCAATGATTGCGCGCTAAAATGTAAAGCATTCGAAGTGACGTGATACAAAAAAAGAAATAAATCCGCGATATTTTTATTCTAAAAGATATTTTTATTTGAAACTAGCGACTTACTGTTGAAAGCCAAATACTGCCAAATACAGCCAATACTGTCGAAAGTCAAATGTTCAAAGAATTTTTTTTTTTAGCTTTGCAGGCGCATACAGAATAACCCACCAGAGTTTCATCACAATCGAATCAATGGTTTAGGAACGCATAGAGGACAAACATACGAACATTCATTTTTATTTATATACTTAGATATCAAATATTCGCGTAAATCTAAGAAAGAATTCCTCATTCCTCAATGCTAACCTTCGTTATACCTATAAGGAACACTTGTGCAAAATTTCATACATATTTTTAGACCTTATACTTGAGATTTACATTTTCTGTTAGTCAGTCCGTGTTAGTGTTTAGTTTTATTAAAATAAATAAATTACAAAAGCTATGGCGTTATTATTTTTTTTGGAAATCAACACATCATTGTATACTTTTGTCGGTAAAAATATTATTACAAATCGTCCATTTGTGTAATTTAAATACTGCCTAGCGCGATACGTTAACAATATTTTAGTTTTATCGTAATTAAATTACTTTATTTATTACTAGCATTGCCCGCGGCTCCGCCCGCGTTCAGATGACCAATAACCAAATTCTTAGGTTTTACAGTTAGTATACTCTTACATTGCAGTTTTTGCATTTTTTCTCAGAAATGAGATATTTCCCCGCGGTAAACAATATCCTATATGTTGACCCGGATAACCAGCTATCGCTATACCAAATTTCATCAAAATCCCTCCAGTGGTTTTTCTGTGATGCGGTAACAGACAGACAGACAGACAAAAATTGTAAAAACTCTGTATCGATAATAATGTTTATTTCAATAAGATTTTCCAAAAAATATTTAATGTACAGATTCGGCTTAGTTACAATTTTATTATATGTATAGATTGGGTATAGATCCTCCTTAACGATATCGGTCACGGCGTCCAATCTTACTGAGACTAGCTTTGGGGCGGTCCCTCACAGGCAGCATTCGCCTGTAATGTAACAGTTCAGATGCGAGCATTACGTAAGTGATGGAGAAGAACTCAGAAGAACTGTGCGCAACCTATAATGATACAATTTGTAACGCATCAATACTTGTTTGATTGTTTGTTCGTTTCTTTTGCTTTTTTTTACGTAAATAACATGAGCGAACCAATATTACCGCGCTCAATATGACCGCTTCGTCAGTTATCTATACTAATATTATAAAGAGCTAAAGTTTCTGATGTTGTAGGGGGTAATCTCTCTCTGGATCTACTGAACCGATTTAGATGAAATTTGGTAAGAAGATTATTTGAGACCCTGGAAAAGACATAGGGCTTTTATCGCGGAAATCATCCCTTAAGGGGGTGAAAATGGGGATGAAAGTTTGTATTGGGAAGCAAGCTAGGGACGAATCCGAACGAAGCGAGGGTGAGTCGCTAGTATACTTATACATACATAGATAAAATGTGTTTATCTCTATTACATTTTCAGTCTTTATTTTATTGACATTTAAGCTAAGTAGTGTAGTCTCGTTTAGAAATGTCAAGTGGAAACACTTTGCAAATTGCTTGGTGCGTGAATGTTTTTAAGAATTTTTATGTTTAAAACGTTTACAACTTCGAAGACGGTGTATTTCATTGCGATTATTATGTTTATTTTATAAAACCAAAGTTGTGCTGAACCTAATGTTGTGAAACTTTGACTATATGATTTCTAATTAAATTAGATTTGTAGCAGATTTCCAGCGATCAAGAAAGTACATAATCAGCGACAAAAAACGTCCTCACCGAATGAGCACTCATGAACATTTGAGCGCACTAATAATTTAAAAAATATTGTGAAATCAACTTTAAGCATTACATATTATAAGGTTCAATTTACATTGTTGTATATTTATTTCAACCAGAATAATTACCTAAACATAATTGGTGACAGTTTTAAGAGAACTTTTGCATGGGATTGTGTATCTAGTACTTTCTCGATCGATGCAGATTTTACATGTCATTCAAAAACTAAAGTTAGGTTCTTTCAGACATGCAGTTTTCCATACGATCTCTTTTTTACCGTATGTTGAAAATGATTCATGCAAGATTGTTTCGAAGATAAGAGGGTTATTTTACATTGTGATTGAGTCTCATCGGAAACAATTAGAAATTAGTTCGAATAATTGTCAATAGATGGCATTATATCAATCCTTTGTTATTGAAATTTGTGTAAAATTAACAAGATAAAAAACCTGACTGCGTAAAAAGTATTTACTTAAAAGATGAGAAAAATTGACGATTTATTATGTAATCGGAGTGATGAGCTACGTGTGTGTATAATCTCCGACTACTTATTACAGTATTCCTTCGTCAACTTTTATTTTTTTTAATTTGCTTTATATGCAGTCGGGTTTTTTTTTATTTTTTTCTATTTTTAGTCAGCTTTATAATCTTTTCAATTTTAGTCAATTAGGCATTTTTAATTTTATTTAACAATTTCTTACCCTAAATGATGTTTAAATATATAAATTCAAAATTGTATGTATTGTAATCACCTCTTAAAAACCTGGATAAGATACCTATATTTTGATCCCCCACTCGATTGATTCGGACTTTTTTTTTCAAGATATGGCGTCTGAGATCTGCTATTTTAATTTTTGAATAGGTATGTATATCTATATACCCTATGACACTCGCGGTATCAAGACGAATCTGACGACGTATGAATTATCAAAATCGGCTCAGCCGTTTAATAATTACGAGAGAACAGAAGATCGGACATATATAATTACATGCCTACTCGTAGATACAGGTCAAACTCAGGCTCTTTTGGGCGTCGTTGTAGACAGTTAAAAATAACCTAAATTTGCGCTGACCATTATCTTTGTGTGGGATAAGGCATCTCGATGGATAATGCTATGGTATCGTGGTGAATGAAACTACACAGTATTATTCTAAATGAAAACCCCCGTTTAGTTATTTTTTACATCTTAGTGCCTGGAAGTCGTTTTTCTTTAAGTTTTAATTTTTCCATTTTTAGTGCAAACGTAGTAAAGCAGGTTAGAAGAAAGTTTTTTAATAACATATTCGATTAAGCAATTTATTTACAAAAATAATTTATTGATTTTTTTAAAAACATATCGACCGATTTCGATAAAATTTAAATGGGACCACCTGGGAAGTATACTCTTCGAAACAATAAGAAAAATTCCAAATCGGTTCAGGTGTCTTCGGGTAATCGGTGAACATACATAAAAAAAAGATTCCGACGAAATGAGAACCTCCTCCTTTTTGGAAGTCGGTTAAAAAATCAAGTTAAAAGTGTTTATCTACAACATTTTTTTTAAATAAAATCCAAATCGGTCCCGCCGTTATCAAGTGAACAGTCCCCTACAAACGAACAGTCAAACATTTTTATTTATACAGATTCGTAGAAAAATAAAAACCAGCATATAATTTCATACTTTATAATACGTTTGGAATGTAGTGATGACAGTGGTTGCACAGGTTTGGTTAAGACGCCTCCTGCAGAAAAATTTGCTAATAAACAAGACATTTTAATATATATAAATAAAATTCTCAGACTAAATAATTATATACACGGAGCCCGCCAAAATAAATGTCAATGTCAAAAATAGTTGTGTCATGTCTTCTTTTTTTTAGCCATTTATTATATCGTTTAAAAAGAATAAGAAAAAAATATATTGTCGTTAATTTAGTTTTTGAGAAGAAAATATGAATAATAACCATAATATATCTGTTGTATTTTAAGCATTAGCTCTCTTCCCCTTGAAAGAGAGATGGCATAATATTAGCTTGCATATTTCATTTTTTTTACTTATTATAAAAAAAATCTGTTAGCTATTTTTATTTATTAACATTTATTTACTTATCACTGTGATAAATATACTATTATTATCGTGCTGTTTTGAAACATTATATTTTATTTTGAATTATTATTGTTTGGCTTCATGTTTGGTTCTATGACTCTGTCTAAATTATGCCTTAGTCTGAGTTTAGATATAGGTAATTTTTTTACTGTATTTCTTAAAAAAAGTATTAGAAATACCTAGTAGGTATTTTATGAAACAATACAAACTGGCATGTTCCCTTTGACATTGACAATTTCATTTGGCTTCATTTACGTAGTTTGACTTAATTAAAAAAAATTAACACCTTTATTGAAACTGCCTTGCAATACTTTAAATTAGACCGACATACTAAAGACATACAAAATGTTAAATAAAAGCTTTTAATTTTTTTATATAATAGAATATATTGTTGTATTTACTAGTATTAGTGACACAAATAAAGTTAAAATTGAAAATGTATGAACCAGGACTCGGAACCGGTTTATTTCGGTAATGTAATGGTTAATTCATCACTCGTTCAATAACCGGTTAATAAAAACGAACGGTTTCGTAAACCGAAATAATAATGTTTAACGGTTATTTTTAGAGAAAGGTTGAGTTTCGATTTTCATACCGAAATAAACCGATTATTCATTCATAAGTAAGAAACGTGCATGCATCCTTCTATTAAGCCATTCACCATTAGTGAAGACGCGCCAAATGTAAACACGCAAAAAATTTTGTTCGTGGAACATAAATTCTTCAAAGACCGTTCTCCCGGATTTAACCAGTTAAAGAACGTAACCTTAACCTTAAATCGAAAAGCCTCTCGGTTTCGTGTCAGTGACCAAAACCGGTTGGTTTAAACATTGAACGGGTTCCCGAGTCCTGGTATGAACTATACTTAGACTAAAGATCATATAGACGGAGCCCGCCAAAATAAATGTCAAAGTCGAAAATATTAGCGTGATTTGCTTTTTTCCTATTTAATAAATTTAATTTTTGCTAATATAATATAAATATTAAAAATAATTACTATATGATTTTATATTTTTGAAGTTATACTTCTTTTGGCACGTTTGGAATAAATTATGAGTAAAATTTTTACGATGCACGCGCACACCGACAGCCAAAAAGCGACATGTTAATGTTAGCTGAAAACGACATGATGAAGTTAACTGCATTCTTTTTACAAACAGAGAGTTGTGACATACGGGATGAAATCTTTAGCTATTTTTGTTCTGTTACGCCAAAGAAGTATAAATTCTTATGTGCGTACATAAGTACACACACACGTTTTTTTATTTTTTTTTATGCATTAGATCTCTCAGTATATAATTATCATTTGTATATTTTTAAAACATTATTATGTGACTGACACTCTGTCTATATTATTCCTTAGTCTGAAGAACTATACAAATATAATTTCAAAAATAGCTTATATGTTAGAAAACTAGCGTAAAAACTTTGTACATATATAAATTTACTTATATATATTAAAAAGGATATCGTAATCATAAACGACATTATTTTTGCAATGGTGCAAAAATAAGGTGGCTATGGGGCCTTGTTTTATTTTGCCAATTATAATTGATTTCTAGTAAAAAAAAAAAACAATTACTATTGGGCTATTAAAATCATATTTAAATATGTTATTCTATATTAACTAATAATTAAAATATAACTAAAAAGGGGACCTAAAAGGTCTTACTTTTTTTTGATACTTTGTTAATTTTCAAAAAACAAAATGTTAACGAAAAAATACGTTTTTTATTAAATTAAAATTAAGTTTCACGTCGTTCTTAGAAAGATTTTCTTAAGTCATGGTCATTTTCAGATTAGTAATTAGTAAATATACTTATATGAATGATTATGTTGACTAATAGTAAAAAAAAAATGTAAAATTAAGCTAATTAATATTTGGCCATTGAATTAAAATACGTTTATTTATTTTTATTATTAAATAATAACAAAATAATACTTAAAACTAGCCAAGTTCATTTAACCACACATGGCAACACACTTGCACAGATAATACACACTTTATAGTTTTTATTTTCGTATGGCAACATTATCATACCATGTTCCGACCGTTGTCGCCAGCTATCCTATCGACAACCTGAAAAAAAATGTATTTAGTATTATAATTGTGACAGATTGTAAATATTTTTGTTACTGCTTTACACATGGCTTAACTGATTTAGATGAAATTCGGAATGGAGATAGCTTATATTTTGGGACTTAACCTCGCTTCGCTCGTCCCTACTACGTTTTCAATAAATAAAAATAGTTATTGTTTAACACCTCCAGGTAAATTTCTAAGAAATTAATTAAAATTCTAAGAAATCTAGTGTTAACTGACACGCTGGCGTGTCCACGGTCGTGGAGGGATTATTTTTTAAAGGTTTTAGATTTTCTCACTGGAACCCTAAATACTTTGGTAGTAAAACATCCTCTATATGTAGGTAGCCCTACAAACTTTTCTACTTTTCTATGAAAGTCTCATTCACGGTTAAGCCATTCCAAAGATTACCCAGGACAAACAGAAAGACAGACATACAAAACTTTTAACTATATTACAGTCCCTAATTCAATCTCTAGAAGAGGGTAATAGGGGGTGAAAGTTTGTATAAAATCCATTATATTTAAAGTTACAGTATTAAAATTGGAAATAATCTTTCTGACTAAAAATCATTTTCTAATTCAAAGTTTCAGTACATCCTCCGGTGTACAAAAATTTATAAGCAGAGTAATATATACTAATATCTATACTAATATTATAAATGTGAAAGTTTGTGAGTATGGATGTATGGATGTTTGTTACTCTTTCACACCAGAACGGCTGAACAGATTTCGTTGAAATTTGGCACAGAAATAGATTATAGTCTGAAATAACACATAGGCTACTTTTTACCCCAGAAAAATATATGGTTTCCCTAAAATAGGTTTGTTTTCGATTTCTTAATGGCGAACCCGAGCAAAGTGAGGGTGAGCCACTAATAATATATATAAACTATAAGAGTTGAGCTGTGAAAAAACACTAATAAATAACAATCAACTTACCCCCCGAATAATTGGAAAGTTTAAAACAGATCCTAAAACTGGAATCATTCTTAGGAAGTTAATAGCAGCCGGCAGGAATCCTCTGAAATTAACAAAAGCATAAAATTATACTTATTTATTTGCATTTCCTACCAACAGAACCTAAAACTATATATTGAAATATCTTATACATAATTAAAACAAGATAAATCCGACACCAAAATTATAATAGGCATTACATTCATATTCTTGAAGTCGTATATATTAATTTATAATATATTTTGTTCAAAATCATTTTAACTTGGGACTGCATGCATTTTGGATTATATAAATATACACAAATAATGCATTTAAAAAAAAAGTTTTAAAATAGAAAAGCTAAAATAAAATTGCCAGATTTACAAAATTATTGATATCAATATGCTACTAATTTTGGAAATGTGAAAGTTTGAGAGGATGGATATTTGTTACTCTATCACAACAGAACACCTGAATGGATCTCGGTGAAATTTGGTACAGAGATAGATTAAAGTCTGGCATAGCACAAAGGTTACTTTTAATCCTGAAAAAATATATAGTAGGATAGATTTGTTTTTTCTACGGACAAACACGAAGAGAAGGTGAGTCATTAGTATAAAATAAAACTAGAACAATTCAGGTGAAATACAAAATATAAATTAACATGTTTAAAATTTAAGACAATAAACTGACAATAACAAAAACATGAAAAAAAATATTGTTTTAAATGGTTGAATTGTGAATGAATAATAAACATATGTATTATGTTGTTAAATCATCAAAAACCAATAAAAAAATATCATAAACCAAATTTAAACTTCAACATTCTATTTACATTTTAAAAGTGAAAGTAAAATTTTGTTTATCAATAACACTGACTTTTGAACAGATTTAAATGAAAATTGGCAGACAGACAAAGCATTTTAGCAATAATTCAGTTCTGAACTTAGTTACAGAAAAAAAAATCACAAGGCTGAACTCACATAAACAGTTCGAAATTTAATAATAAAGGATTTTTTACCTAAACAGTAGCAAGAATCCATATATCTCAGCAACCATGCCTACCATCGGCCAGCCCAATAAAACTATAGTGATTCCACCAAAAAATGCTACAGATGCCTTCACTTTATGTCGTTGGAAGAAAAAGAAAAATGTTCTTTGTAATCCTATGACGCAGGCCAGGCCACTTATGAAGAGAATCTAAAAAACAATACCTTGCTTTTTACTGTTAACAGCCATATTTAAGAAATAAAAATATTATTGTAAATACCAAAACGAAATACAGTAATTACTGAAATTTGTTTCTACTGTAAAAAAAATATTAAAAGTAATTATAATTCATATGTAATATATCTTTAAAATATATTATTGCATGTTGTAACATGCATAAATTAGTCAAAGTCCAAAATAAATATAACAATTACATTTCCAATAGCAAGAAGACCTTTATCAAATAATAGCAGTACTCCCAGAAACAGGAACATCATGCCAAACCCTGCCAAGCCCACTCCGATCTCTGGAAAATTACATATAATTAAACGTTTTGATTATTCTTAAAATTAATAGATAAGACAGGTAAATTAAGTCCATTTAATCTCAAAACAATCTTATGGCTGTAGTATCTATTAAAAATTGAAAAGAATGATTGCTTTTTCCGTTTAATTTACATAAAATTGTGTTTCCCAGTTTTTATTTGTATTTCACTGCATTGCATGTTTTATTTAATAATAAGTTATTAACATACGCAATAAAACTAAATTTAATTCACTTGACAAAATTGTGTCATAGTAATTAAATTACAATTAAGGCTATACTGATATATCACATCATAATCACGTACATCAATGATAAAAATGGAATTTTGAAATCTTCATCAGCAGCTACATAAAATACTGAAATTGAGTTATTTAATTGAAGAAACTTACTTTGAGTATCTGTAATTTCAATCATATTGAAGTATATATTATATTACTGATTATTATACACGTATTTACTTAATATTCAGTTAAATACATTTGTAAATACGAAATTAAACAAACTTATAACCTTCTACACCACGTCATTTTTGCTATCGAATTTACGAACTGTCATTTTGAACTCTTACGTCAATATATTCGTCTCGCGTAATCACGTTTTGTTAATATTGCGATTAATGAACGTTCAACGTTATGTCAATAAGGGTAACTTTGTATATATTTTTTTCATATTATGATAAGTTTTAAAAGAATAAAAACTAAAATACACTGTCTTTAAACAAATTACAATTTATAAATAAATAAAGGATTGTATTTGAGGTATCTTAAACCTTAGCCTCTCCCGTGACCATGATTACTTACTGTTATGCATATGAAAAGTCGGGAACTAAAAATTAAAAACGCGAAATAATCTGAAAAGATAGTTTAATTTAAAGGATTGTAATTAACATTTTTATTTGTCATCCATGTTAACAATTTTATATATATTGTTATATTTATATATATGGCTTAATATCTTTTGTAGATATATTGTCATATTTTTCTTTTTTTGATTTGCTTTTAATGGTTCCAAATTCTTTATTCAATTTATAATCTATAATTTTCAATTTATAATCTATAATTTTCAATTTATAATCTATATTATTTGACAGCATCTGAAAAGTGACATAAAAATTATAACCTAGCTTTCAAAAATCGATAAATTTTGGCGTCCATTTTGTAATTTAACGTCAAATATATCGTATTTTGCTTATAAATTCCATTGTAACAGTATTTATTAGTACATAAAAACTTAGAATTTCATTAAATAACTATATACATTATTTATTTGTCAATATTAAATAAGAAAGCAGTGAAATTGCTGACACAACGAGTTTTCACATAATGGTACGCGGTGCCGGTCGCGGAGGACGCGGAATGCCTGGCCGTGGTGGAATGGGGCGTCCGCCCTTCAACAGACCCCGTGTATTGATGCTAAGACCGCCATTTGATTTAATCCTAGCAGAACCTGCATTTCCACGATGCAAACCTGCACCAGACGATTCCGCTTTAACTCAGGTACAATAAACATGTCTCTGTTGGACATTTTTGGTGTTTATTAATATTTAACCTAATCTGTTATTATCATTCCATGAAAGAGTTAAAATGTAACTAAGCTAAGCTGTTCACCATAGGAATTTGACAAAAGAGTAATTATTAAGACCCCTTCCATAAGATAGAACGTCTATTAGATAAATGTGTTACATATAAAATTATTAATATCTAACTGCAAAATTTCAGGCATTATTAAAAAGACATACAGAACTATGCCCCACTCCTACCGAGCAGGCAGCAGTACTGAGCCTGGTCACAAAGCTACAGACAGTACTGGACAATTTGGTAGTGGCACCAGGTGACTTCGCAGCATGTGTAAGTTTTAATGACTTTTTTGCTTATAATGTTAGTTATTAAAATGTACCAATTTCATAAAATTTGAGTGATTGTATATTGATAAATTTGTATATGTTAATCTGGAATTTAAGGACCAATAAAATATTTTTTTTTTGGCTTGTTAATAAAATGCTATGAATCTTAGGAATGGATTATTATGTTAATGCATGCAATAGGGAATATGTGTGTTATTTATATAAAGGTGAAATGTTTTTTTTATAATATTAATTATTTTAAATTATGTCTATATCAATATTTTTTGATGTAATTTCTTTTTAAGAAAATAATTATTAAAAAGTGCAAATATAGGTAGGAAATTCAAAGTAGTTGAAACGCACGCATTGGTCATCACGCATATTCCCTATTGATCAAAAACATTCAATGTTTTGTTTTCTTTTTTTGTTTTGAGGTTATGACACAGTTTTGCACTTTGTTAAAGAAATCAAATGTTTATTTATTTTTATTTTATATTACTAAAAATAGTTATTTTATTTTCTAGCAATTGGAGGAAGTACGTCAAGTGGGGTCGTACAAGAAAGGCACAATGATGGCAGGCAAAAATGTTGCCGACATAGTTGTTATCATGAAAACCCTCCCCACTAAGGAGGCTGTGGAGGGACTGGCTAATAAAGTTAGTTTATTATAAAATAAATATATATATCAAATACAGGAGGGTTTGATAACATATATAAATAAGGTCTTTCAACATTAATATATTTGTTTGAGAAAGTAAGATAAAAACAGACAATTTATTAAAAAAGTGGAATTCTGTGTGACATGATGTTATTAATTTCCTCTAATATACTGGGCCTTTGCGTCTATTTCAGGCAATTTATGGTACAATGTTGGAGATACAACAATTTCCTCTAAAGAATAATAATACTACTCTATATTTAAATTAAATAAACATGCTATGAAAAATAAACAGAATAGTGTACATTGTAACATATCGAAGCCCGATAGCTAAAATTAATATGGCATTTTCTACAGTTTAAAAGGAAGATCCTTTTAAGAGAAATAATTCTGTAAAACAGTTTTCATATAACTATTAGTTTTTGCGGCGCAAGTCAATACAGCTCCTAGTCAGCCTGTTATTTACATTTAAACACCCAAACCTTCCTGATAACCCACTCCATCTAGGTGAAAACCGTATGAAAAGCCGTTTGGTAGTTTTTTTGAGTTTATCGCGTTCAGACAGGTTGACGCGGCGGGGGAATTTTATTTTACAGGGTTTTATTTAACTTTTGTATGGGTCAAATCTTGCAATTGAATTTTAAAGCAGTTTTCCTAAACCGATTGAGCTGAAATTTTGCATACACATTTAGTTTAGATGACAATACATGGTTAAGTGACGTCATTCTAAATCCAACATGGCGGACTTCCAAAGATGGACTATGTTTTTTATGCACCCCCACAATATAGATATCAAATGAAATGGTTTGCTGACAAGAACACGAATAAGTACTTACTAAAAAGATAAAAAAAAACTTTAAACTAAATCAAACCCATTTATTACATTACACAATTATATTATTCTTCAATATTTAAAGGTCTTTGAATCTCTTGAGATTAAGATTCATATTATTTGAATTATTAAATTACAACATATTTGAAAATCATCTTTCCAGGTCAATGAAGAACTTAACAAATTGATGAGAGCAGAAGGACTCGGCAATGTTACAAGTACTTGTCATGAGAGAGGTTTTACAGTGAGTGCTGCCACCGCTGCTGTGAGGGTGTTGGTCACCACACTCCATCAGAACTTGAGGAAATTGGAACCCGATGTAAGTTGTATTTATGTATTTTTGTTTTATATAAACGGATGCACATTCATATGTTTTATAGATAATTTGTTGAATTAGGAAAATTATTGAATTGTCAAAGACATCCTTTGTCCTAGTTCTAGCTGAGATATATGTAATATTTAAAAAAAAAATTGAAACATCTTCAAGCTTTTTCCATGTTTTTATAATGCGATTGAATAAGAAATAAAAAATTCCATACTTCCGTATGGAAGTATGGAATTTTAAAATAATATTATAAATGTGAAAGTTTGTGAGTATGTGTGGATGTTTGTTACTCTTTCACGCCAAAACGGTTGATCGGATCTGGATAAAATGTGGCATAGAAATAGATTATAATTTGGAATAGCACATATTATCCCGGAAAAATGTACGGTTCCCGTGGGATACATTTGTTATATACATATGTTTTATATCTTGCGTATTGAATTGATTAAGGCGTCGTTTTTCTTTTTTTTAATCTAATGCCCGCAGATGCGACCGTCTCTAGTAAGTAACTAATATGACATTTGTAAGTGTTTTAACCGACTTCAAAAAGGAGGAGGCGCTCAATTATTTGTCTGCATGTTACAGGTTGTGAAATTATTTTGACAGTTCTTTTTTTTTATTAAATAGGCTGAAGCAAGGGTCTTTCAAATTTGAAAAAAATTTCGCTCCTATGAATGAAATATTTTTCAAGCAATACTTTTGTTTTTTTTTATATAATACTATTACATTCTTCATTTAACATCTTAAATTAAAGTTTTCTTATTTCGGACTCTCCTTTGAACGTGGTCGTAAAACATTTAAAACGTTGGGAACAAAAAATCTGAAAAAAAAAACCGTGAAAAAATGCGAAAAAAAAGTTTTTCAATCTAAATATTTAAAAAAATATTTGTAGGTTGTTTTGAAGTCGGTTTAGCTGTTGTTTAAATGTCTTTCTTCTTTTTACAGTATATTTGTACAATATTTAAAAGCATGTTAAATGTTACTGTGTTGAAATTAAAAATGTGTACTGAATTTCCAAATGTTTTTATTTAGTAATAGGTATTTTTAATGCTAAGCCCGAGTCTCACGACTCTAATAATCCCATGTGCGAATCATGTCCAACATGATTACCGCTTCTCTTACAGTGAGGGAAAACATTATGAGGAAACCTGCATGTCTGAGAGAACCTAGCAAGTTGTCGAGAGACATGTGAGGTTTATCAATAATAATTTTATTATAATTTATCTTTCCATTCTTCCATCTAAAGAAAAAATTAAAATGTCACTGACGGACTCCGGACAGAAGTGGAAACTTATAATTTTGGAATGACTGTGTTTTTTTTATTTTTAAATTAATTGTAGTATGAATAATTAAAATGTCATAATTTGTATATTGGAATTATTATTAGTCTGGTTTCACATCCATTGGCACTCTGAACAATAATTATATACATTTTGATATGGTTTATTTATTTATCAAAACATATGACGCTGCACGTTGCCAGTCTGCGCCATATTGCGTCGACATGTCACACGCAGCGTGTCGGTGACGCGAACCCATAAGTTTTTCCCCACCAAAAATCGCTCAACGCGACCAAAGGAGTTTTTACTTTAAAAAAGAACAATAGATTGCTAGGAACAATTTTTTGTATGTAGGACTTTAAAAAGGTTTTATTTTTATTTTTCAGGTACATTTGGACTACAAAGTGATAAGCAGTCACCTAGCAGCAATCCGTCATAGCCGTTGGTTTGAGGAGAATGCACACCACTCTTCCATAAAGGTATTATGAGATTATTAACGCAAAAATGGGCTTTAATTTAGACAATTATTATTACATATTATCTATACAGATAAATGAAATTGAAGTGTCTGTTTGTAATGTCGAAATAACAACTTATTATTAAATGCATATGAAATAATTATAAAAGGTACTTATACAAATAACACAATTTTTAAAAATTTTGTCTGTTTGTTCCGGCTAATTTCCGAAAAGGCTGGACCGATTTTGACGGGACTTTCACTGGTAGATAGCTGATGTTATAAGGAGTAACTTAAGCTACGGTTATTTTAGAAAAAAGAATTATGATTTCACTCAAAACAATATTTTTAAAACATTTAAGGTATTGTTTATAATAAAAAAGCGGTTTTGACAGTAGTGAAGTGAAGTAGTATATTGAATATAATATGCACATGAAAATCTCAGAGATGACCATCGGGTTTGAACACACTTCACTAAACCTCTAAATTGAAAGAAAATTATATAAATGAATGGAGTGAGTTAAGGTATCGGGACTTGGTTGTAATAAAACAACGTTTTACGTCGAAAGGACAAGTAAATATGTATGTATGTATGTAATATGTATATATATGTATGTATGTAAGTATCTATGTAAACATGTATGTATGTATCTATGTATGTATGTATGTTTGTATATATGTATATTTATATTATAATTGATGTTTGTAGTTTGTACCTACACCGCACCGCATTATTATTTTTATATTTTCTCACACTTGAGGGTTTCTGGTAGAAATCTCTTAAAGAGATAAGTCATCCTTTGTACACATGGCATCTGTTTTAACTTGTATGTTTTTTTTTCTGGTACATAAATAAATAAATAAATAAAACTAATTTTAATAACTTATTTTCTAAGACTTTATAGGAACATGAGTGTAGTAGTGTGAGTGGGTTCCCCTCACAAAAAAACGACCCTTAATGTTTCGGACGACCAGAACCAGGGTATGTCTAGTACCCGGAGGTCGACCTGGGACAATCTCCCAGACGTTCTTGGCGTACACGGCAGTATGTCCGTTCGCTGGTAATGTACGCCACCACGCACCCCTGAATGCGTAGCTTGGGTCCCGATCCACTAGGGTTTCTTCGTTGACAGGAGACTATACTTAGAGGCGATGAAATAAAAACACAATTTTTCCTTTTTTCTCTCTTGGTTTCGGTTCTTCCTTTTCCTGTTAGTTGTTGCCTCTTCGGTGGCTGTCTTGCGACTGACTCGAATCGAGAAATGGCTCGCCTTTTATTTGGCCCGTTAATACCTTACAGAGAGCCGCGTACTTTGAGCTCATTTTTCGAGTAAAATTTCCCTAAACCGAAACCTTGAGAGTCCTTTTATTTTATGTTTTCAGTAAAACACCTTACGCATATTTATTTATTTACATGCCTTACATACTATTATACAATATTAAAACATAATATTCAATATATAATAATTAATTAAAAAAGTCTTAAAACAAAAATATCTAAATTTCTAGGTTGCTACATTTTTACTATACATTTTCCCTTATAACTTTTGAACGGATAGTCCTATCGACCTAATTCTTGTTTTATTATAAGTTTTATAATAAAATCTATTATTTAAAACATAAACTATTATGCTATTGCAAGAAACAAAAAATCTCATTTTCAAGTTACGTAATTATATGCTAACATTTTACTTACGTATCTATTCCTTTCAAATTAATGTTAAATAGTCTTATATGATTCAAATAAGCAAAAAATACTCTAAACTAACCTTATTACACTAATTAGAACTTATTTTAACATAATAAATCTAATAAGAATGAGATTTCATATTTACAACAATTATTCATAATACGCTAAAATGACATTGTCCCTATATTAATACACACGTTACTCGAAGATAGGTTTTCCGTCGCCGACACTTAAACTATCTATGCGTAGCTGCTTGCCATCTGGTACAACTCAATTGTTTCACTTGAACATTGCTTACAATAATAGATGCTTTTAAGAAATATCTAAAAAGGACGATACATTTAAAATTATAAGATCCTTCCGAGAAGGATATCTAAATAGCCCACGTGTTGGGTTACATAACTAGTGTCATCCATTTTCTTTTTTAATTTTTCATTGATGAAATTATAAGTTCCATTTTTTGCGTTTTGGCTAAGATCCTTAAAAATGGTACAAATATATTAGTAACTAATGTCCTTCTCACAATATCATTTTACTCCAGAATATATGATTCATGTTTTTTTGTTTTCTTCTCCAGGTCCTAATCCGCCTGCTCAGGGACATGTGCTCGCGCCACGCGGGACTCGAACCACTCACCCCCTGGATGATAGACCTGCTGGCTCACCACTGCATCATGAACAACCCCGCCAGACAGGCGCTGCCCATCAATGTAGCTTTTAGGTGAACATTTATGTTTTTACCATTAGTAGAGTTTGAGTATTATTGGGATTCGTTTGTTTAAGTAAAATAATTTTATTTAGCCTTTTTTAACATCCCACTACTCGGCACGGGCAGATCAAGGACAAATTACATGATTTGATTAAAAAAAAAGAAAAATTATGTTGTGATTAATCTCTATTAATGAATTAGAAAACTTATGTTACACATATATAAATGTAAAAAAAATATTTATTATTTGCATTATTTGTAAAACTAAAAATATATTGCATGTTTTGATAAAAAAAGAAATGATTTTATTGTGATATTTTTTAAGGAAATAAAGAGGTTTTATTATTATTAGTAATGAACAATTGAATTAAAGGTGATAACGCTAGTTACTAAAACTAAAGTCTCCCACAGACTTATTGTTTAAAATGTGATGCATATAGGTAAAGCTAATACTGTGTGGTGTGTGCAGACGCGCGCTGTCGCTGCTGGCCGGTGGGCTATTCCTGCCGGGCTGCGCCGGCCTGCCCGACCCCTGCGAGGCGGCGCACGCGCGCGCGCACACCGCGCTCGACCTCGCCGCGCAGGATCACGCCGCCGCCACCGCGCAGACGTGAGTGCCGGCACGTGACGGCCGCCGTGCTGTCGCCGAGACAGCTGTCATACTTGTCATACTGTTGCGGTGACAGCTGTCACAATGTATTTTCGTTTTTTATTTATCTTCGCCACAGATGACATATATACTATAGTATTGTATTATATGTATGTTTATGTATATATAATAAAAATATATTTATATGATAAAATTAGTATTTTATATATATAAATTTTGATGTATGTTTATTTATATTAAGTTTTGATGATTAGCTCTTTATGCACCTTTACGCTCTTCTCACTTATTCTTTATATCCTTTTCTATCGTTTGCCTGTAAGAAATCACTTTTAGTGATAAGGCCGCCTTTGCACATTTCTTTAATTGTATTTTTTTATGTGAATGTATTTTCGTATGCAATAAACTGTTAAGTATAAATAAAAAAAATATATTAGTAAGAAATTGCTTTAGGCAGCGCTGATTCGGGTTATTTTTGTTTGTTTGATGTCGTTGATTCGCAAATAGTTAAACTGTGTTATTTTATAAATATGTGCAAACTGACGTACGGTAAACGTTTACAATATATTTATTTTTTTATAATTTATTAATATTTTTATAAATAAACCTGCATTCGATTAAACAAATATCAATGATTTTAATAATCTTTACCCGTGATATGTAAAACATAGAAAGTAAAAGCGCTACCTTTTAATATACACAACAAAACCATCATCTGATTGCTGATATTTCAATAATCATTAAAATTAGGCAAATTTGATTTACGATTTCGTTTCCCTTCACTAAGAATATATTTTAAAACAATAATACCAATAAAACCTTTACCTTTTCGGGATCTATTCTTTTTTCTTTTGTTAATTTAACACAACTTTCATAACAAATCTATACATGTTATGTCATCTATTGACATTTATTTGAAATGATTTTGCTTTATTTCTGTTGAGACATTCCTGTTACATCACGACGCACGATAACAAAGGTTATTTGTTCAAACCACTAATACTTGTTGTACTTTACAGTAGAGAACTTTTTCCTCTTCTTTAATAACAGCGCTTTATTTCTAAGATTTATGTACCCACATATATAGATGAAACATATTTTTAGGTTTTTTTAAAGTAAAATGTGTATTTTATACCAATGGAATTGACATTTAAAAATTAATAATTCTATATTAAAAACTGTCACGGTAAATTGGTTGTTTGGACAAATAAGCACTGAGTCGACTTCGAATTAGGGGGAAAGCATAGAAGTTATAAATAATAAAGTTATAGATAAATCTAAGAAAGTATTATTCTATTATTTATAACTTCTTTGCTTTCTGCGTAAATGCGAATATTTATCATTTTAAATAAAACTATCTTTTAGGATTTTTTCGTGAATTTATTTTGATTTTTGGTTTATTTGGTTTGGTTGGAATGTTTTACAGCAATCATGGTTTCGGAGAGTCTTTCCTGTGTTTATAGTTTTATTTAATCTATACAGATAAAATTGAAGTGTCTGTTTGTAATTACAAAATAACAGCTTTTTACTAAATACATATGAAATTATATACAATACATAAGAAAAACACATTTTTTAAATCTCTGAAACAGTTGGACTGATTTTGATGGGACTTCCACTGGAAGATAGCTGATATTATAGGGAGTAACATAGGCTACTTTTATTTTAGAAAAAGAATTAGGGTTCCGCTTAATAAAATTAAAACGTACCTAGAGACGAACACAGCGAAGCGAGGGTGAGTCGCTAGTTTAATAATAAAATAATATCATCCCCATGCAGTCTGCTGCGTGTGGTGGCGCGCGGTGGTCACCGCTACGTGCTGGGGCTGCAGGCCTTCGAGGGCGGCAAGGACATCTCCACCGAGATCACGGTGTGGGACGGCGTCGTGGTGTCGCCGCTCGCGCCCGCCTACAACGACACGCCCGAGCCCATGGACACGGACGACAAAGGTGTGATATACAAGCGAACACACACACATACATACATTGGCGACACGTTTGGCTCAGTTTGTAGTGACCCTACTTGCTGTGCCAGCGGTCGCGGGTTAGAGTCCCGCTGGGGGCATTCATTTGTGTGATAAGCGCGGATGTTTGTACTTCAGTTGTGGGTGTTTATATTTATAATATGTATGTATTTAAAGTTATATATGTGTAGTGTATCAGCTATCTGGTATCCATAACACAGGCCTCGTAACTTACCATGGAACTAGATGGCGCTTTATTTTATTGTGGTGTGTTATTGTCTAAACACAAATTCGAACTTACGCACACCACATAAAGTACTTTTTCAAACGTAACAATGTGCCTTTTTAATTTTGTCCTCCAAAAAGCAATGAATAAAAAAGATTTGAAAAAATTGTGCGCTTTATTACGAGGATACTTTTGAGATTGAGACGTTAATTGTGACGTTGAGTTTTTGTATGTCATTGTTTAAAATTCTAATTTTTAATTGATTTATTTTTAAGTTTTCCCCGAAATTTAATATTACTTGTATGTTTTCAGATGATGAAGGAGTTCCAGACGGAGTCGCTGCTTAGATTAAGATTGTAATAACACATTATAAGATCTTTTAATAAAATTTATAATTTAACCACCAATTTCTGTTTTCTTTTTTCTTTAAGTTGATTATGAATATAAATTTATTGAAATTATATTTAAGACTAAAGAACGTCGTCGTAAAGAACGTACGTTTAACGGTTAGTATAGATTTCTCAGAGATGAGATGTTTTCCCGCAGTAAAAAGTATCCTAGTAGGTATCCGTAGGCAGTGGTAGCCCAGTGGTAACGCTCTCGCTTGGGAAACCGAGTGAAGCGGGTTCAAATCCCGGGTCTCGCACCTCTGATATTTTCATGTGCGAATCATTTCTAACATGATTACCACTTGCCTTACGGTGAAGGAAAACATCGTGAGGAAACCTGCATGTCTGAGAGAACTTAGCAAGTTTTCGAAAGACATGTGAAGTCCGCCAACCCGCACTTGGCCAGCGTGGTGGACTATGGCCTGATCCCCCTCGTATTGAAGGGAGGCCCGTGCCCAGCAGTGGGACGTTAAAAAGGGCTGAATACAAAAGTATCCTATAAGTTGATCCGGATAACCAGCTATCAGGGGTGTTGTAGGAGTCTCACAGTACCCTGCCCGTTGACGGCGGGCAGGGTACTGACCCCATGATGGGTTTCACCAGCGTTTATCAAAAAAAATAACAAGCTATCATCATACCAAATTTCATTAAAATCTGTCCAGTCGTTTTCTCGAGATGCGTTCCCAGACAGACAAAAAAAAAACCTATAGATAGATTCGGCCTCTGTATCGATAATAATGACTATTTCAATAAGATTTACCAAAAAACCATTTAATGTCACATGTACAGATCCGACCTCTTCTATAAAGAAAGTAAACAATCTGTATGGCAAAATCGATGCCACGAAATGAAAGAATTGAAATTAATGTAATTCGTGAGTCAGCGAATGTTTGAATGTTCATTTGTGGCTAAAAATTAAAAAAAAAATAACTTTTACTCAATATTTTACTTTTACAACTCATACAAAATATTAAAAAATATTCATCTTAACACAACATTGCCAAAAATAATATTGCTTGTAGTTTTCATTTTATATTTTTGATTTTTCGACAATATATCGTGTCCGGGGTACAACTCTGACACTTTGGTACAAATAGAGAACTTGCTAAGCTTTCCGTCCAAATCTTTGTAGCCGCCAAATTTTGAACAGGATGAAACAGACGACATTGATAAGACTTTACTCTCATTATTAAATTTTTCCAAGTAATTTGAACGTTTCTTTCCATAATAATCGAAATGTATTATATTTAAAAGCCCACACCGTTTGTATCGGTCTGTCGTTTTGTCGACATCGAATAATGTTAGCGTGCCCACTTCGCAAGTTTCTTTCGCCATTTTAAGTGACTTATATTTATTTAATTTCTTTCATAGTTTCCATGAATATTTGTTATTTGTTACAATAAATTTATTAGTAAATCATGGAAAATAGTATATTCTGACATTTAATTTGTTTTTTTTTTTCTTTATAAAAATAGCAACCGTTTTATATTATACAGCCAATAGTTAAAAAAGTTTCAACGAGTTTAAACATTAGAAATTAAATTAATCGATTTTTTAAGTCATATTTTTATTATAAAATGAAATTAATGTTTGCGTGAAATACTAAGAAAAAATATGTATAATTGAATTTTAACTTTATTAAATGTTATTCGGAATATTCACATCGTATAGACGGTTCTATTAAAAAGGTATTTCCAATAAAAAATGCATTTAAACCATACATTTTTCTGTATTAGGATCAACATTTTTTTTAAATGATACCATGCAAGCATTCTCATACATACAACTGGAGGTAAATAAAAAACCTTTTTTTAAGTTTTAACATTATTTATTTAATAATAATTTATACTAGCTTCAATATATCTAACTTACAAAAACTTGGCTTATTTATGCGGAAACAAGACGCGCCTGGTCGGTACTGAACTGATGCTTTACAACAATGTAGTATAAAAGTAATCTATTTTATAACATAAAATACTTTATATATAAATATATAAATAAAATTATAACAAGATTGTCAAAATACATTTTTTTTTGGTTTTTAGCCGTACATGTAATAATAATAATTAAAAAAAATAATTTATCAAAACCCAATGATTATGAAAGTTTCACAGTATAAAAGCTTATTCTTAAATTATATATTGAATTAAATTAATGATTCTTATTGAAATTAATTAAATATCATTTTAACATTATTTATTATGAACAAAATTCAAAAGTGGACGTTGTTTTTTTTTCATTTTTATTGAAGTTATACTTCTTTTGGCGTATTATGAAAAATGAATGATGAAAGTGATTTTATACGATGCGACAGATTTAGACTACAGTGTGAAGTTTTTCGTTATTGGCTACAGTGTGAAGTTAGTCCCGGTGTCTGTCTGTAATCAAATCTTACAAGTTAAATTTGACCCACTTCCCAGTGGCCGATTGAGCTGAAATTTGGCACACGCGTTTGATACTCGTGACTGCACGATTAGCTAGATGTCGCCATTTTTAATACAATATGGCGGACGTTACAAAATATCGATTTATCATTTCCATAGTGACCCTTATGAGAGGGCATCTAATGAAAGGGCTTTATGATCGAAACAATAAGCAACGTGACGTCATTGTAAATCCAATATGGCGGACTCCCAAAGATGGAGGACTGTTTTTTTTATGCACTCCCGTGATTGGATATCAAATGAACGGGTTTGTTTAGAAGAATACATTAAAAAAAACATTAAAAAAATTTACAACATTCACAAAAAAACAAGCTTTTATTTAAAAGCTCTAAAAATCAAAAAAGTATAACTTCTTACGTGCGTACATAAGTCACACACACACACTTTTTTTAAAATATTTTATGCAGTATTTAAATATTAATATAAAATTATTATCAAAAATTTAACAAAAGAAAGAAAGATATTCGTAAATATCAATTTACGAATATCTTAAAATGTAAAAAAATAATATCGGATCAAGAAACAAGAATTCAAATTTATTACATCAAGAGGTCCATTTTCTAATTAACTTTTGCGCTCGCAGCCAAATATAAAAAAAAAACAAATACAAAAAAGTTTAAATACAAATAATAATTAAAAATGCCTTTAAGAAGTTAACGCCCCCTCCGCCCTCACCTCTCCCTCCCTCCATAGGAAGATATAACATAGAATTCAATAATTAAAAAATAAACAAAATACATAGATAAATCATTTTATACATACAAATATAATAAAAAGCCAGTGTTTCGTAAAATTTTAATATAAAATATATTTAATTGGAGCCAGACGCGCCATTAATACTGGATTTAGACTCCGGAGCCCTCCTCGCACACTATTTGATACGTTATCAAATACTCTGGATACGCCTGAAAAGGAAATAAATAGGAAAATGAATACTGGTTATTGCCCGCGACTCTGCCTGCTCGCGTGAAACGTAGGGAAAAAGTGATTCAGGATCTATCTCCATGTCGAATTTCACTCAAAATTTGTTGAGGCATTACAACGCCACGTGACAAACACACTAACATCTCAATACATATTATGTATTAAAACATTTATCAAAAAAGTACTAGATATACAATCCCACGCAAAAGTTCTCATAAAACTGTTACCAATTGTGTTTAGGTTCAATTCTAGTTGAAATAAATATATAACAATGTAAATTGAACCTTAAATGCAGTGCTTACAATTGTTTTCACAAAAAAAAAATGGAATGTGCAAATGAGCGTTCATTCAGTGAGGACATTTTTTGTCGCTGATTGTGTATAGTACTTTTTTGATCGATGATTAAAAATACTAAAGTTTGTACGTGTGTATGTTTGTCACTTCTCACTGACACGACTGGACGGATTTGTGTTAAGTATACATACAGTGTGTTACATGGCTGATGGGTGTATATAACAAATTAAATTTTCATCTTTGCCTTTCAGTCTTTAACAAAATTAGTTTTACGTTTAACAAAATTCTGTTATGTACCTTCGCACGCATACGAGCGAAGCGAGAGCAGAGAGAGCGAAGTTAAAGGTACGATGGTTAAGCGTGCAAACTTCTTTAATGACCCATTATCACGATGTTAGGATGTTCATGTGGTTTTATTTATTTAATTTATTTAATCATTTATTTCAGGCAATATTTACAAAAAGATCTTAAATATGTAAACATAGGCCCATAGCATATATACCTTAAAATTAACATATATATTAATCGGTTTGTGTGTAGGAATTTTGTTAAGGGTACCAGAGGCTCTTGGCTCGTAAAAAGACGGAACTCCCACAACTATAGATGTCGGAGTTTTGGTAAGAAAAAAAAATTAAAGTTTGATAGAAAACTGGAAGAGTTTTCTGAAATTTACAATGGACTCTTAGAATACATAGCTGGAGTCGGTTTTTTCGTCAGGACACGTGAATACCTGCTCGCCGCGGTACACGACGTACTCGGGGAAGCAGAGGCCGCCCTGGCTGGGCGTGCCGGCCACGCTGTGGTGTCCGGGCGGCGCGTGCGCCATCTTCATGGCGCTGGCCAGCTGGAAGGCGCGGCCGAGCGCGACGCGGCACAGCAGCAGCTGGCGCGGGCACACGTAGCAGCCGCGGTCCTTGTGCGCGGGGCAGCCCGCGCCGCCGCCGAACCCGTACACGTACTGGTTCGACTTGGACGAGTGCTCCGCGAAGTAGATGCCCGCGCCGAACATGCCCCCTGGGGACCCACCGCGTAATTTTCAATTCGACTCCCTAATCCACACTTATTGCAAATATTTGTATATTTGTCTGTCTGTGTGTTACCCTTTTATGCCGTAACGGATGAACGGATTAGGATAAAATTTAGTATATATAGACGTAAGCACGTAGCAGTGGCGTAGCTATGCCAACCAATGAAGTCGTATGGGGCCCCTCATTCAAGGGAGCCCCGACGAGCCACAAACGACTTCTTGTTCAACGTTCGGCAGTCGACATTCGTTTTCATAATAGGCAAAGGGGCACTTCTATTTTATGCATTGGGGCCCAAAAAGACTAGTTATGCCACTGGCTCTAAAGCACCTAGGGAAGCACTCGCGTACACATTAGTTACCTTTTATGTATATTTATTATTATTTTTCCAGCCTATCGAGAATAATGTCATACAAAACAGTGACAAAACAGGCCTTGATGTAAAGAAAGATGCGATTGGAAAACAAAAGTAAAGTATGACTGGGAAAGCGAGAGTGGGTACAGTAGAAATGGAGTGTGGAGAGTAAAAAAAGCAAAGTGTTAGGAAGTTAGAGCGACTGGGAAGTATGGAAGGGGATGGACAGTATCGAGTAGGGTGGAGCGGAAAAATGATTTTTTTTCTTTTTCAAAAATTTTGATTTTTATAAGTTACAAATTCTACCCTCAAGCTAAGAAAAAAACTTTTTTTTTTTCGCTCCATCGTAGTGTCGAGGGGTGTGCTCTCACCGATGTACGCGTGGCGCTCGTCGAAGCCCTTCTGCACGATGGCGTTGATGAAGGGCGAGCCGTGGAACAGCATGCGCTCGTGCGGCGCGCCCGCCTCCTCGCCCACCTCGCGCCGCCGGTGCTGGTAGCGCTCCCACAGACGCCCGTTCACTATCTTTTGTATCTGTATACAATCGTTATCATAATTATCATATATATACTAGCGACTCATCCTCGCTTTGCTCGGGTCCACTCATTGATTCCCATACAAACTTTCATCCCCATTTTCACCTCCTCAAGGAATAATTTCCGGGATAAAACTCCTATGTACTTCCTAAGGGCTCAAACTATCCTCTTACCAAATTTTATATAAATCGGTTCAGTAGTTTCGGAGCCTATTCGATACAAGCAAACAAATAAACAAAAAAAAATATTATCTTTATAATATTAGAATAGATAGATACATTTAATAAAATAATAACTTTGCGAAATCTGTACGTGAGATATTTTTTTAAAAACAATGACTGTAACGTAATGTGTTCGGAATATAGTCCCCAAAACAATAGTTGTTGAATTTTCTGTCTGTTTGTCTGTATTTCTGTACATGAGTATGCGAGTTTCATTATAAACAACATGTCATGTGCAATTAAGGAGTCTTATGCCCGATTTCACCAACAATCCATAAGCTACCACCACCTACGTATGGGATACCTAGCTTAAAAGTCTACTTAACTTGCCCCTAAATTAAATTTCGTTTTACCATCGTCGGAGCCCGTATTTCTGGTACCTATATTTAGGCCCTAGCCATGCTTAAGGGATCCCTTAAACTTAGGTAACGTAGGTGAAATCGGCCATTAGTGGTAACCGTGCTCCCCGCGCGGCCGGCACGCACCCGCACGACGTTGTACCGCGTGAAGTGTCCGCCGGCGCGGTCGCGGTGCGCGCGCACGGAGCCCTGCATCTCGCGCTCCAGCAGCGCGAACTGGCCGCCGCACTCGCCCGCCGGCACCTCCACCAGCGTCGTGCCGCCGTACCACTCTGCGAAGACACGTTCATATACAAAAAACTTTACATACACAATGGATATATGAATGATTTTTTTTTAATTCTTAGACAATAGCTAACATCACTATATAGTATAAAACAAAGTCGCTTCCCGATGTCTGTCCGTCCCTATGTATGCTTACATCTTTAAAACTACGTAACGAATTTTGATGTGGATTTATATTTCATACTAACCGTTAAAACGTACCTATTGACGAACCCGAGCGAAGCGAGGGTGAGTCGCTAGTCGTTAAATAATTAAAAAAAAATATCCAGCTCAAAAAATTATCCCACAAAAAATTTAAATGATTATTTCTTAAATTCGATTTTCATAACATAACGGTTTTATCAATCTTTGAAAAATTTGCATATACATAGATAACGAATTTGTAATGTGCATTTGTAGATGGCGCTGTTAATATTTTATTAGTGGTAACGCGCTCGCTTGGAAAACCGAGGGAAGCAGGTTCAAATTCCGGATCTCAAAAAAAGAACGGTCTTCTCGAATTTAGGATTCATGATCGAAATTAACCGGTTTAAATTATTTTTCGTGCATTTACATTTGGCGAATCTTTGCTGATAGTAAATCACTTAGTAAAAGTATACATGTACATTTTTTACTTATGAATGAATTATTTATCGATCGATCTATTTCGGTATCAAAACCTATCCCTCACCTTTCTCTAAGAACAACTGTTAACCATTATTATTTCGCTTTACTAAACCGTTCTTTTTCATTAACCGGTGAATGAACGAGCGATGAATTAACCGTTACATTACCGATTTTATAAAAAAAATTTTAGGTAACAATACTAAAATATTATAACATAATAGTATTACGATTTAGCCAAAAAGGCCAATAAGTAATTTAATTTTAACTTAGTTTTATAAAAATATATCGAAGAATGTGTTCAATGACACTTTTCTTATAGTCTCTAGTTAAGGGGAAGACACTTGATTTTTATGTTGTATATTATTACCAAAATGAACAATATTTTAAAACTCCGATCCATGATCGGAAGGTGCCCAGCAGTGGGAGTGCCTACCGGAGTGGGAGTGCGCGTGCGCGGCGAGGTCGCGGCGCGCGGCGCGCAGCAGGCGGTGGCGGTGGCCGTAGGCGGCCACGCCCACGGCGCGCAGGTCCTCGTGCGACATCTCCGACAGGATGTCCACGGAGATCTGCTCGCGCTCCAGCACGCCCGCCAGCTGCTCCAGCCCGATGCTGCGCGGACATGTTGGGACATTAACACACACCACCATCTAGTTCCATGGTAAGCTACGAGGCGCGTGTTATGGACACCAAGTAATTGGTACACTACACATATATAACTTGAAATACATACATATTATAAATATAAACACCCATGACTGGAGTACGAGCATTTGTGCTCATCACACAAATGAATACCCCCAGCGAGACTCGAACCCACGACCGGCACAGCAAGTAGAGTTGCTACGAACTGAGCCAAACGTGTCGTCACAAAGGCACTATATTACAATCTTAACAATTCCATGAGTTTTCATTTTTTTACGCGAGACCCTATTTTTCCCACCCTCTTTTTCTATACAAATTTAAGAAAAAGAATTAGGGTAGCAGCGCAAATAAATTAAAACCCATGATATTGCGAACAAAACCCGCATACCTACCGACTCACCCGAGCGAAGGTAAGTAGCTAATCTAAAATAAAGGGATCCGCGAAAAAATCCGAAAAGATAAATATAATATGTACGAATATATGATAAAACTAGCGGACCCGACAGACGTTGTCCTGTCTACACGTCTTTAATTTGAAAATTTCAAACTTTTTTTAATAATTTTTTTGATGAAAATTATTATTCAAATTATGAATCTAAACCATTCCCAGATCCCCTTGAACACACACAAAAAATTTCATCAAAATCGGTCCAGTCGTTTGAGAGAAGTTCAGTGACATACACACTCACAGAAGAATTATATATATAAAGATGTCGAATATTCGCGTAAATCTAAGAAAGTATTACCCCTCAGTATGTATGTACATTTAATAATAAGTAATATTGTCCTACATAAATATATTATGTAACTTTATTGGAAGTTGATTAGATTATTTTTAGTATTGTTAAGTTGGTTAATTTTTGTGTAAGTTATTTAGGCATTATTTTTACTGACTCCTTTATATTGTTACCATTATAACCAAATTGCATGTGGAGTTTACCTTTAAGTAATTTTTACACTGTTACAAGAATATCAAAGATCGTATGATGATGATGATGTTCTCCCGACCGATTCCGGCCACGGCGGCCAATCTCATTGAGACTAGCCAACTGCGCAGGATATATTATACTGCACAAGTGTACGCACAGACACAACGTGCACTCTCTATTCCTGTTACTCTCATACTCCGGTGGGACGACACGAGACACGACCGGTGAGAGTTAAGGCGCAGGACCGACGGCTTTACGTGCTCTCCGAGGCACGGGGGTGAAACACCGCCAACTTCCCAACTCCGGGCTGTTACTGAGACTTACTATACAGGAAGACTCAATAACTAAACTTGGCCCGACCCGGGACTCGAACCCAGGACCTCCGGGTGTGCAGCCGTACTTGCTAACCACTACACCACCGAGGCAGATCGTATACTGATTATATAAATCGTGTAAACAATTGTTGGTGAACCTAAATAAATAAATAAAATAACCACCCACCTAGATAGGAACGTGTGCAGGGACTCCGACGTGGACAAGGCGGAGGCGGGCCTGCCGGCCGCGTCCTCGAGACTGCCTCTAGAACCTTCCGCCCAATAATTACTGGGCATTACCTGCGAAGGGATTTTAGATTTACGATCCAATATTTTAAATAATACAATTACAATTTTTTATTGAAATGAGAATTCTTTAGAATAGTTGTTATTTGAAAGTCGATGAAACGAAAATGCGACACGAAATAAGAGACAAACATATAAATATAGGATTAAGCCGGCGAGAGAATGAGATGGAATACATTGCCATGTTGCCATGGTAACCGTTGTTATTGTTTAACAAATATCTAATAGTATATTCTTTCCGTATATGATATTCTATAAATATATAATTGTAATATGCCTTATTTAATTATTGATTTGTTTTAATTTAATTGCGATATTTGCCAAAGAAGTTTTACTTCGATCGCTCGTAAAAGGTTACACGCACCATTTTTTTTTCATTTTTTCATAGCTTTGAAAGTGCGCAATGCGTATATCGAAAAAATATTATCATCGAAATTTTACATTCATTTGTGAAGCATCACTTGAATACTAAAATAGTAGCTAAAAACTTGCTCTAAAAGAACTGTTGAAAAATGACAAAACCTAAAAAGGAGTCAAATTTGTATTAACTAGGTCGATTTAAATTACAATTAAAAATATATGATAAATCTATACTTATATTATAAAAAGGTACAGTTTGAGAGTTAGTGAGTTTGTAGGGGGTAACTCTGGATCTACTGAACCGATTTAGATGAAACTTTGTAAGAAGATAGTTCGAGATCCCGGGAAGGACATAGGATAGGACTTTTTATCCCGGAAATAATCCCTTAAGGGGGTGAAAAGGGGGATGAAAATTTGTGTGGGGAATCAATCTAGGGACGAACCTGAGCGATGTTGAATCGCTAGTATACAAATTAAAGGAAATAATAAAACGTATATTTACATTTAAAATAATAAAAAATAACAAATTCTTAGTTACACCATATTTGGCAATAGAACTCAAAGGAAACTTACAGGCAAAGGCAACTCAGCAGTCTCCCCACTGGGCAGGAGCACGGGCGCGGGCGGCGCCGGCGGCGCGGGGGGCGCGGGCGGCGCGGGGCACACGCCCTCGTCTCCGGACCCGGTCATGGCATCCTGGAGGAGACTCCTGACATCATCAGCGCCCGCCAGTTCTAAAGCTGTTTGGCCTTCTTGGTTTTTGAGGAACGGGTCTGCGCCGTGGGCGAGCTAAAAACGTTGTTATTAGGATTATCAACACAGAATAAGTTTATACATTTTAATATAAGAAGTTCCAACACTATTTAAGCTGTTTGGAACTTATTTTCTTCTCTTCTTCTTTCTAAGCTTAAAAATTTACCTAAACTATGCATAAAAAAATATATGAATATCCAAACACTATACTAGCAGTGGTAGCTCGTATTGGAATTATACAATATAATATAATATCTATACAGCTAACTCTAAGTCGCCATATGATCTTGATGAAGACCGGCCGATCTTAAAATGTACCAAAATAATAAAAAATACAAACACCGAAGCACATATCTTCAGGACTAAACTTTTTTTCGAGGACAACAGTACCAGTTTTATGTTGTTCTGTACAGGTTGAAGTTGAGTTCTCCAAGGTTACACCAAGAAGACTAAGGCTCGCTCCACACTATAGTGCCAATCACAGTTCGCCGTCGCGTGGGTCCGATATCGGTCTGGTAAAGTATTGTTATACAAGAAACAATAAGTGTATTCACACTATCAGTAACAATCAAATCCCGGTACAATCACATTCCAGCAATGTTTTTATATACAAACTAGCGAAAACTACAAAAAAACTGAAAAGATAGTTTTATACAAACTTTCATCCACTATTATTTCCCTTTATAGTATGATTTTCGAAAAATATTAAAACGCATTTATTTAATTGTATTGAAGAGCGTTAATTAATACCAAGTTTCAAGTAATTCTGATCATAAATATTTTTTTCGGTTGTATTATATAGTGTTTTCCCGCGGAAATTAGGTAAACTCCCGCGATAAAAATAGGATATGTCACTCTCCAGCCCTTTAACTATCTCCACACAAAAAAAATCGTGTCAATCCGTCACTCCGTTTCGACATGAAAGAAGGACAGACAAACAAATACACTTTCACATTTATAATATTAGTTTGGATACTTTACCACACCGATATCAAACCGAGAACGGACTGTGGACGGCATTATAGTGTGAATCGATCCTAAAGCTACATGCTCGTGTGATGCTATATTAAAAAGAAAATCGACCTTTTAACCAATGAAACCAACAAAAAAAACTCACCAAGAGAGCACACAGCTGGGTCCTGGCCTTGTGCGCGGCCTCGTGCAGCGGCGTGAACCCCCAGCGGTCGGCGGCGTTGGGCGGAGTGCCCGCGCGCAGCAGCAGCGCCGCCAGCTCCACGTGGCCGTACGAGGCCGCGTTGTGCAGCGGCACCAGCCCGCCCTTGTCGCGCGCCGACACCGCCGCGCCCGCCTCCAGCAGCGCCTCCGCCACCTCCAGGTTGTTGTAGCCCGCTGGACGGGTATGGATGGTTTTTTTTATAAAAATGTTATTGAACTTCTTTAAAGTCGGTCAAAATATAAATAAGTAGGTACAATTGCGCAAAGGTGGTTATCTCGAAAAATTTCAATTCAACTATGGAAATTTAGATACATATAGAAAATTTTAGTTAGTTATAAATACATTTGAAGAATATTCTTTAATTTCTTCATAACATACTTATTATTTATATTTCATACTAGCAACTCACACTCGCTTCGCTCGGGTTCGTCCCTAGCTTGATTCCCCATACAAACTTTCATCCCCATTCTGACCCCCTTAAGGGATGATTTCCGGGATAAAAACTACTCGTATTTCAAAGATTTAAAAAAATCTTAAATTAATAAAAAAAAATCTTTTAATTTTCTTCTATACAAAAATTGTCCTGACAATAACAAACACAAAAAAAAAAGAATTATCCAATTTGGTGCAGTCGATCGGAAGTTATGCGCGTACATACATTTCGGTGATTCATTTTTATTTATATAGACTAAGTGTTATAAGTCAATAAAACTTTAAAAAAACCATAATTAGGCCAATAAACATAATATAACAAGAAAACTAAATATATTATAATACTACTAGTGACTTACCCTCGCTTCGCTCACGTTTAAACTTTTTTTTTGAGAATAAAATCGATCTAGCCGTTTCGGGGATAAGCCGGAACAAAGAAAGAGACAGAATGCGAAAATTTTAAAAATTGATTTTTTCTTATATGTACCGTACTCGTACTTTCATATGCACATAAAAAAGCTGTTATTATGACATTGCATACAGACACTTCAATTTTATTTATATAATTATTATAAATTGATTTATTTCCATTATGTACTCACCAGCAAGATGTAACGGTGTGGAGTTCCTACCGTGCGCATCTCTGCAGTTCACGTTTTGCGGCGTTATTAGTTTCCTGAAAGTGATAAAAATCTAATGAAAACATACTTAACATATCTTTTAATATTAACATTATTTTATTTTTATTTTATTTACTGTCTTACACACTAACTAGCAACTCACCCTCGCTTCACTCGGGTTCGTCCTCAGCTTGCTTCCCAATACAAACATTCATCCCCATTTTCATCCCCATAAGGGATGATTTTCGGGTAAAGTACCCTATGTCCTTCTCAGGGTCTCAAACTATCTTCTTACCAAATTTCATCTAAATCGGTCCAGTAGATCCAGAGATTACCCCCTACAACGTCACAAACTCACAAACTTTACCTCTTATATAATATTAGTATAGATTATTGTCTAATTAAAGGAATAAATGCCTAATCCCACAACTATGTAAATTCCAAATGTCATATACACGTCGGCTATATTAGCTCCAGCGAGGTTACTTATAACCACCACATTACCGTTCTCTTTTAAATAAAACTATTTTTTCGGTTTTTTTCGCGGATTTATTTTGATTTTTGATTCCCGACGTTTCGAATGCTTTACGGCAATCATGGTCACGAGTGAAAAAATCCGCAAAAAAATCCGAAAAGATAGTTTTATTTAAAATGTCAAATATTCGCATTAATCTAAGAAAGTATTACCGTTCTCTTTTTCAGGATAACCACCTTACCATCGGGATTGTCTCAATCTCAGATTGAATCCTTATTCCCATATTAAATTCTAAATATCATATTCATTTAGCAATATCCAGTATTGCAGAGTTACTTATAACCCATCAGTCCCTTCTTTTTTTGGGATAACCTTTTATCACCGTGATTCTCTCAATCCTGGATTAAATCCCTATTCTTACACACAGTTTCAAATACCATACTCACTTAGCTCTCGCCAGATCTCCTCTCTTGGCAGCATCCAGCAATGCCGCATCACCTCGTAGCGCATCTGCTGTGTCGCTGTCGCCGGCCCGCACCAGCTGCAACGGCGTGAGGCCATCGCGGTTACGTCGTGTCGGATCCGCGCCGTGCTGTGTATTGTAGGAATAGGTTTTACAACCCTAGAAACCTTATTATGCATATATATATATATTAAGCTGTACCGGCATGAAGCTGTCGTGTCGGAATCGTGCTATGTGAATAGATTTTGTAATACTAGAAGCCCTTTTGGACATATTTATATGAATTATATATTAAATATTCTAAACATTTTAAAGAATGGTATGTACACACTACTATGATAATTGTGAAATTTGTATATGAGCGGTTGTTTGTTACTCCTTCACTCTGTATCGGCTGGACAAATTAGAATAAAACTATGTACAAGATAGACTATGTATGAATGTGATAATATGAATATCAAGAATAACACATAGGCTACTGTTACTTATAAAATTTGTTACTTGGTGGAATTTGGTTATACTATTTATGAGATAACAAAATCCCGATTACCGAGTTATTCGCGATATAAACAATAGACAAACAGACAAAAATTCCAAAAAAATATTGACTTTTCACAAACATCTTTGGACGTAAGATTAATTAATAGAACTGCAAAACAATAAAATACCCAAAACCCAACCTAAAGATTATTATCTCTTGAGATTCACATATACTTTACCTTCAATAATAACCTAACAATGTCCGCTTTGCCCTTAGCAGCCGCCTCGTGCAGCGGAGTGAAGCGCCACAGGTCCGCCGCATTCACGCCCGCGCCGGCCGACACCAACAACTCCGTCACCTCGTAGTGCCCATAGGAACACGCGTTGTGAAGGGGCACAAGACCGCTGGAAAACGCGATAATAATAATAATAATAATGAACACTTTATTGCACACCACACAAGAAAATAAATAAAGAAGTGAAATACATAACAATAAAAAGATGCACAGCAGGCGGCCTTATCGCTAGAAGCGATCTCTTCCAGGCAACCTTAATGCAAATATATATGCAAATTTTAATTACTTGCCAATAACAGTTAGATTCTAGCATAAAATCTAGATTGACGTCTAGTCTAGACGTGCTACTGCCATACTTAGTGAAGTGATCGCGATAGAGAGAACTATTTAGCATAAGGGTTAAAAAATAGAAAGGGTCCAAGAATACATTCTTGTGGAACACTTACTTGTAAAAAAAGATCTAGAAGATTTAACAGTATCAATATAAATCTTCTAGATTCTCTGATTTAAGTACGAAGAAATTTTAAATATATAGGGTTTATTTAATAATCAAGAAAATCAAAGATTTTATGAAATCGTCCCTAGCTAGGTACGTTTTAATTTTTTTGAGCGGAACCCTTGTTCTTTTTCTTGGCTTTAATTTTTATTATTTTTATGTCGGAAAAAAAATGCCGACTGGGAGCTTTAATGGCATGCCTCGCGTAAACCAATAGTTATATGATTAAAAAATCCGACTTCAAAAAAAACACAAAAAAAACTGATTTCAAGACTTTATTTACCTAATCAGATATTCACCTGGAAAATATCTGATTAGGTATCTATAGTAAATGAAAACTACGAATCAGTTATTTTTTACTTTTTAGTTTTTTTAAGTCTTTTTTTATTTTTTTTAAAGTGCCTATTTTTCCATTGTTAGTGTAGACTAGTAGTAGCAAAATAAAAAGAAAATATCTTAAAAATTAACTAGGTGAAAAAATCAACCATCCCCTATTGGAATGAATTTTTTTCAAATTTAAAAGGGACCATTTCGACATAAACCTCTTTCGAACAAAAAAAAAATTTTGCAAATCCGTCTATATATGACGATATGATACAAATATATATAAAAATCCGAATTGTGAACCTCTTCTTTAATATTTTATATGTTATATGTTTTCGGATAAATTCGCGGATTTATTTTAATTTTTATCTAAAACCTCTTCTTATTTTGAAATCGGTTAAAAACAATGTATTACACGAAGCGGAGGTAAGTCGCTAGTAACATATAATGCACAGACAAATTTTTTAAGTAATCGAAATAAATACAATATTTCGCCTTCCTTTTATTATAACAAAATATACATGTCATGAATAATTTATTACTTCCAAAATTATTATGTAATCAGTTTTTACAAATTTTTTAATATACATATTTATAATGTGCCGTGTTACATTAAAATGTACGTTTTTTTATGACTTGGGAATAACTTAGAATATATTTTAATCTATACATATAATAAAATTCTAACTAAGTAGAATCTGTACATTAAATATTTTTTGAAAAATCTAATTGAAATAGTTATTATCGAAGCAGAGGCCGAATCTATAGTTTTTAGAATTTTAGTCTGTCTGTTACCGCATCGGGTCAACATATAAGATACTTTTAACCGCGGGAAAATGTCTCATTTATGAGAAAAATACAAAAACTGCATTGTAAGAGTATACTAATATGTAAAAACCTAAGAATTTGGTTTTTGGACATCTGAACGCGGGCGGAGCCGCGGGCAATGCTAGTTTTTTAATATAAATTCATCGAATTTGTAAAAAGAAATAAAAAGATGGCATCATATTCTCATCTGTATATTTTACTTTTGACGCAAGTGGAATTTTTTTTTATCTTTTAATTTATGTGATGACGTAATGTAGATTTTTCATTTCACCAAATCGACCATAATTCATTAAGTTTGGACTTTGGACGTATTTGGACGTTTTACTATTTATTTTATTGATGAAAGCCTCAATAAATAGATTTTAAATATGTATAAAATAATATTATTAAAAGCACAAAGATTTTTAAAACAAACGCGTAGGTCCAGAGATTAGTGCGTATAGACAAACAAACTTTTGAGATTTATATATTAGTACAATATTTGTCGAAGGTAGGCTAGGCTATCTATATCTAACATTACGCTGAAACATTAAAAGCAGAGTAATCCATACTAATATTATAAATGTGCAAGTGTGTTTGTTTGTTTGTCTTTCTTTCACGTCGAAATGGAGTGATGGATTGGCGTGATTTTTGGTGTAAAGCTAGCTAGGAGAGCTGCAGAGTGACATAGGCTACTTTTTATCGCGGTAGATCATCTCATTCCCACGGGAAAACATGTTATAATACAATCCAAAAATTTATTACTGATCAGAATTACTTGAAACTTGGTATTAACGCTCTTCAATACAAATAAATAAATGTTTTAGCATTTTTCATAATTCATCCAATAAGTGGTAAAAAGGGGATGAAATTTCGTATGAAACCTAGGTACCTTTTTAGAGATAGATAGATTAGGTTTCATATAAACTTTTATCCTCTATTTTACCCCCCTTATAGGATGAATTTCAAAAAATGTTAAAACATATATTTATTGATTTGTACTGAAGAGTATTAATACTAAGTTTCAAGTAATTCTGATCACAAATATTTTCTTGGTTTGTATTATAACGTGTTTTCCCGTGGGAATAAAATAATCTAGCGCGGTAAAAAGTAGCCAATGTCACTCTCCACCCTTCCAACTATCTTCACACAATAAATCACGGCAATCCATCATTCTGTTTCGACGTGAAAGAAGGACAAACAAACAAACAAACAAACAAACAAGCAAACAAACACACTTTCTTTCACATTTATAATATTAGTATGAATTTTTAACATTTGTTACGATGAATATTGTCGTTAGAACATGAAGGAACTTGCTTCACTTATGACATCAGTAATATTGTATTCTATTAGTAGTCTCTAGTGCAATTTTACGGTACGAGGATAGGTAATTTTTTATTATTTTTACCATTTTCCTACTTTACGTCACGCAACACATGAATATGCATGTCTTTGTTTAGTTTTAAAATTATAAATTGAAAACCGTCTATTATCTTTTCATGGTTAAGAGACCTATTACAAAATGTACCGAGTTCTACAGCATTGAGTTCGAATGGCCGACGTATCGCATTTGTTTACTTTTATGTAAATTTTTTTTAAATTGTTTCAAAAAAGTATTTAATTACATTTCTTTTGAACTGACGTATATTCTGGTATAAATTTTACATAATAATATTAACTTTGTAATTATGTGTTTACAGCTAATTCTGAATGTCTTTAGTAGTTTTAAGATTTTGAAAAGGATTTTTTTTATAAAAATCCAATACATATTTTCAAATATCGAGACCGCTATAAACTCAACAACTATATAATACGAGATATTATTATTTATTGTTCATTTAAGGTAGTGGTAGCCCAGTGGTAACACGCTCACTTGGGAAACCGAGTGAAGCGAGTTCAAATCCCGGGTCTCACACCTCTGATATTTTCATGTGCGAATCATTTCCAACATTATTACCATTTGTCTTAACGGTGAAGGAAAACAGCGTGAGGAAACCTGCATGTCTGAGAGAACCTAGCAAGTTTTCAAAAGACATGTGAAGTCCGCCAACCCGTACTTGACCAGCGTGGTGGACTATGGCTTGGGGGATCAGGAACCTACTGAAGGGAGGCCCACTCCCAGCAGTGGGACGTTAAAAAGGGCTGAATATATTGTTCATTTTGTTTGCTTAATATTTCAATGCAGGAGCCTGCTTCGGACTTTTGGCTTTATTTCAATTAATAATACGAATTTGAGAAAAGCGAGGCCGCTATTAACTATACTCATAACTATTCTCCTCTATACAATAAGACAAAATAGTCTAAGAGTATGCAATTTATATATACACTAGCAGAACCCACGGCTTCGCTCGCGCTAAAACTGCAAAAAATCTCTAGAAGGGTAGTTTCATACAAACTTTCACTTTCTGTTTTACCCCCTTATAGGATGAATTTCGAAAAATACTAAAACACGTATTTATTTAATTGTATTGTAGAGCATTTCTACCTAGTTTCAAGTAATTCTGATCATAAATATCTTTTTTTGGATTGAATTATAACGTGTTTTCCTATCGAAATAAGACAATCTCCCGCGGTAAAAAATAGTCTATGTCATTCTCCAGCCCTCCAACTATCTCCACACAAAAATCACGCCAATCGGTCACTCCGTTTTGACGTGAAAGAAGGACAAACAAAAAAAACACTTTCACCTATAATATTAGTATGGATATATCTCCAGTTAGTAACATTCAATTCATTCGACGAATAAATTATTGTTTTACGTAGTATCTACTATCATTAACTGGTAAGCAACAATAGTAATTACAAACAAAAACCTATTTATCCTACTGCGGTAGGATGGGTCCATGGCCCGGGAAAAGGAGTTGCCGAAATACAGTCCAAGATTTCTGACGGAGTTACTGTATGCTAGGTCGAAATTGTCAAATCTAATAGGGTATCATGATGTTCGCCTGACCGATTCCTGCCACGGCGGCCAATCTCATTGAGACTAGCCAACTGCGCAGGAGATATTATAGTGCACAAGTGTACGCGCAGACACCAGTGCACTCTCTATTCCTGTCACTCTCATACTCTGGTGGGACGACTGCTCGACACAACCAGTGAGAGTTAAGGCGCAGGACCGACGGCTTTACGTGCTCTCCGAGGCACCGAGGTGAAACACCGCCAAATTCCCAACTCCGGACTGTTACTGCGGCTTACTATACGGAAAGACTCAATACTAAACTTTGCCCGACCCGGGACTCGAACCCAGGACCTCCGGGTGTGCAGCCGTACATGCTAGCCACTACACTACCGAGGCAGTTGGTATAAGGTATTAAATACTAGTAAAAAAGGCTAATAGTGTATAAGGTATTAAAGTCGATCTTGTTAATCAACTTTTAGCTTCCAATTACAACGACTTCAGACTTAGCAGGATTAACGCAGAGTCCATACGACGTATCCTAGGAATGAATTTTGCACATACCACTGTCAAGGCATTTAATATTATAATTGAGGTCACTGGAGGGACCTGTAGCATAAATCTTTAAATCATCAGCATAGAGGTGATAGAAACAAAATTGTTTTGTATACATACGTAATAAAGTTATATCTTCTTAATATATATATAATTCTTCTGTACGTGTGTTTGTTACCGAACTCCTCTTAAACTGCTGGACCGATTTGGATGAAATTTTGTGTGTATATTTCAATGGGTTCCTGGATGGTTTGAAAATGCAATTGGACCCGATAAGTGGCGCTGCTGTCGGGTGTCACATATCTTCTCCTAAACGGCAGGGAAGATTTTAATTATATTTGTTGTGTACGTTCGAGTTGGACACTTGAAGGTTTGAATTCACAAATAGACACGGTAAGTGGCACTGCAGTCGGTGTGTTACCAAATTTTCATGAAAGACTCCATTTTCCGTGCAATAAATATATTTAAATTGTTGATTAAATAAACGATTAGGGGTTATACGTACACTTCCTTCGTCCAATATTGTGTTTATAATATGTACATAGCGAGGAACCCGAGTGAAGCGAGGAACCCGAGCGAAGCGAGGGTGAATCGCTATATAACGTAAAGCTAAAGTTTTTTGAAAATTGAACGCGAGTGAAGCCGCGGGTACCGCTAGTGTATACTTAATTACTTCATTTACATTGCATATATTTGTAACAAACGAAACCAACGTTTATTTTTACCGATTGTTGTCTAAGGAATTAATGAAAATTTATTCTATAACGTCAATCAATATACCGTATTTAAAAACATTTTTAACTTGCTTGATTTTTTAAAGTTTTGAACCGAATTAAAAACGTAGAGCAAAAACATCGATGTCGTAATTTCCTCACGGTAAATCTTTTATTCATTACTTTTTATAATATTGTACTTCAGAGTGTTCGACCGACCACTGGTCGACTACTAAAAATAATGACCGAAGTCAATCACCGTGGTCAATGTCGTGGCCGCGCCAATGGCGGCCTGTTCTATTGAGACTAGCCTTTTGCGTAGGAGATATTATAGTACAGCGCGTGTGTCGGCGAACGCGCAGACACAAGTGCACTCTCTATTCCTGTCACTCTCATACTCCGGGGGGACGACTGCTCGACACGACTGGTGAGAGTTAAAGCGCTGGATCGACGCGACACGTACTCTGCCTCGGCACGGGGGTGAAACACCGCCAACTTCCCAACCCGGGCTGTTACTGAGACTTACTAAACAGAAAGACTCAATAACTAAACTTGGGCCGACCCGGGACTCGAACCCAGGCCGTCTCGATGTGCAGCCGTACTTACTAGCCACTACACCACCGAGGCGGTTCAGGTCGAACACTATGTAGTTTATATTATTACTAGCAAAACTCGCGGCTTCGCTCGCGCTAAAAATCTAATATACGTAATATTTAATTTATCATTTTAAAGGTAAGATAGGAATAGATAGGTTTCATCAAATATTCTAGCATAATACGTTACATACACTTAATCTCTACATATAATAAAATTATAACTAAGTCGAATCTGTACATTAAATAATTTTTGGAAAATCTTATTGAAATAGACATATTATCGATACACAGTCCGAATCTATAGGTTTTAGAATTTTTGTCTGTCTGTCTGTTACCGCATCACAGAAAAACTACTGAGGGATTTTGATGAAACTTGGTATGGTGATAGCTGGTTATCCGGGTTAACATATAGGATACTTTTTACTGCGGGAAAATATCTCATTTCGGAGAAAAATACAAAAACTGTAATGTAAGAATATACTAATATGGAAAACCTAAGAATTTGGTTTTTGGTTTCGCGGGCCGGAGCCGCGGGCAATGCTAGTTTTATAATATTAGGATATTGCTATAGGTAGCAATACATCCGTTTTTTAAAGTGTCTGAATAACCTATTTAGTATTTACCTTAATTCGTAAAATTATATTGTTGACTAACTTATCGTATTTAAAATAACTTTAACATTATTTATTTTAATAAAAAAAAACAACTAAGCTTAAAACACAAAAGTCAATAGTATGTAAATGAATGCCATAAAGGCTAATAAAACTCACCAAAATTAACAAATATGTGAAACACACACATTCCACAAACAAACACAGCACAAAATGTCTATATTACGGTAAAATCAAGTTAAAACTCTATAAAACCTCCACCTTTGCCTTCAATTTTCTTATTATTAAATAAAACTATCTTTTCGGATTGTTTCGCGGATTAATCCGAACAGATAGTTTTATTTAATAATGTCAAACATTCGCGTAAATCTAAGAAAGTATTATTCAATTTTCTTTTAATATTTGTAATTTTTGTTTTTAATGTGCAATAAAGAACATATATAAAACAAAAAAAAAACTCATAAGCAATGCACTCATCTATACATATAATAAAATTGTAACTAAGCCGAATCTGTACATTAAATATTTTTTGGAAAATCTTATTGAAATAAACATTATTAATTATTATCGATACAGATGCCGAATCTATAGTTTTTAGAATTTTTGTCTGTCTGTCTGTTACCGCATCACAGAAAAACCACTGGAGGGATTTCGATGAAATTTGGTATGGTGATAGCTGGTTATCCGGGTCAACATATAGGATATTTTTTACCGCGGTAAAATGTCTCATTTCTGAGAAAAAATACAAACACTGCAATGTAAGAGTATACTAATATGTAAAACCTAAGAATTTGGTTTTTGGTCATCTGAACGCGGGCGGAGCCGCGGGCAATGCTAGTAAACAATAAATACGTAATTTCTGACGAATCACAAGGAGAATAAGACGTTGAGAAGCAGGTCTTTGAGCAACAAAAATTTGATTAACGAGCATGCGTAAAATGCTAAAAATGAATGAAGTCACGTGACAATATACAATCCAAAAGTATGAATGAAAGACAACTTAGTATGAACGCGGTAAGCAAAAATACAACGTCATATCCACAGAAATCTTAATAATATTAGCTTATTATTAAGATTTCTGTGGTCATATCGTAGCATTTCTATGAAGAAAAGGCAACTTGTAGTGCAAATACATTTTTTAGATTATATTTTTTTAATGCTTATGATTTTTGGTAGGCGTTATATTATTTTAAAGAATGTGACGTAGTAATAATAAGTTGATTTTTTAATTACTAATTATGTGTATTATTTATATTGAATTATAAACAAAATAAATATTTATAATAAATGATGGATTATTGGATCTGTCAAAGGTAAGACGGTGGAAATCGTCTTGTATGGACCTTACACCACTACTACATATCATACATATAAATAAAATAAAAGTGTATGACTGTAATTTCAAAATAACTATGATGTCTCAAATACTGTCTGTCTTTCTGTTTGTTCGGAGTAATCTTCAGAACGGCTTAAGCGATTGTAATAGGACTTTTACTGAAAGATAGAGTAGTTTATTATGTACATATAGGCTATATTTTATTCCGGGAATATTCATTTCTAGCGCGAAAATCGAAAACCCATAAAAATTACGCAAAATTCAAATTTCCTTTATAAAATAAGTCTTATTAAAAGGACGCCCTAATGAGTGAAACCGCGGGAGAACACTAGTAAAAAATATATTAAACTCTAAACTCAAACATGATTTTTTTTTTAGTTTAAGGTAAATAAAGTATGAATCTTACCCTTTATCTTTCGCATGGACGTCTGCCCCTCGCTGCAGAAGTATCTGTGCTAGAGGTAGCCTGTTGTATCTGGAAATTTGAAAAAGCACCGTATAGGTATAATTGAATTAAGACAACGAATTGACTTGTTAGTACAGTGGCTAGCATATACGACGCACGGACACACATCTAGAGACCATGAGTTTGATTCTCGGATGAGGCCAAGTATAGCTGATAGACATGATTATAGGTATTAGAAACACAAAAAACAATAGTAATAACTTTTTTACATGAATCTAACAATTAATCATTTACTTTTAAGCACTTGTATAAATTTCTGGTTAATGAATACAATTCTGCAAAAACTATCCAATGATGCACCGATTCGTATATCGCGCTATCTAGAAAAAAAGAAAAGTCAACTTGACAAAGAAACTTGACAGCTTTTTTTTTATAGAAAAAAGGGGCAAACGAGCAAACGATCCACCTGATGGTAAGTGGCTATCGTCGCTCACGGAGATCTGCAACACAAGAGGAGTTGCGAATGCATTGCCGGCCTTTAAGGGACCTATAGACATTACTCTTGAAGAGCCCCATATTATAGCGCTCAGGGAATACCTCGGAAGTTCATTCCACATCTTGCACGTGCGAGGATTGATGTAGTCAGAGATTATCAAATATCAAAATATTGAATTTGTCCTTATTATATAACTAGCAGAACCTGCGGCTTCGCTCGCGCAAAAACTACAAAAAAATCTTTAAAAAGGTAGTTTCATACAAACTTTCATCCCCTATTTTACCCCCTTATAGGATGAATTTCGAAAAATGCTATAACACGTATTTATTTAATTTTATTGAAGAGCATTAATACCATTAATAGCATTCAAGTAATTCTGATAATAAATATTTTTTTGGATTGTATTATAACGTGTTATCCCGTGGGAATTAGATAATCTCTCGCGGTAAAAAGTAGCCTATGTCACTCTACAGCCTTCTAACTATCTCCACACAAGAAATCACGCCATTCCGTCACTCCGTTTCGACGTGATAGTAGGACAAACAAACTAACAAACAAACACACTTTCACATTTATAATATTAGTATGGATTAAACTGCAGCTGTCTGAGGCGAAGAATAAGGTAATTTCAAAAGCTTTGATTAGCTATGAAGAACTTCCCACATAACGGCTAATATAATTATTACTCTCCTGACCAATTTCGGTCACTATGACCAATCTCACCTCAGTGAGATTGGTCTATATATATATATATATATATATATATATATATATATATATATATATATATCTCAATGGGCATCTGCGATAGATACACAAGTTTTTGCCCAAACCCAAGTGCTACCAACTTCTTTTCCTTCTTAAACTCCTGCAATGACAAATAAACACGACGAGTGAAAAATGCGACGCAGGACATCGATTAAAAAAAGTACTAGATACACGAACTGTCACCAATTGTGTTTAGATAATTAATCTAGTTGAAAAAAATATACAACAATGTAAATTGAACCTTAAACGTAATTTTCAAAGTGTTTTACTTTAAAAATTGCGTTTAAGGTTAAAAAATATATTTAAAAACGCGCTCAGATGTGCAAATGAGCGCTCACTCGGTGGGAACATTTGTTGTTTGTTGTCGCCGATTGTGTATCTAGTAGGTATTTTTTTGATCGATGACGCAGGACCATCTTTGCGTATTCTCCGAGGCGGTACAATAACACTTTGAACTTTCCAAATCAAAACAGCTATTGAGAATTTCTTGGCGCAAAACCCAAAACTCAAACTCAGAACCTTTTTATTTGCAGGCGTATATACTAGCCACGAGACCACCACTCAAACAAACCCAGCAGCAAAATGCAGGGGCGTCGAATGCCGTCCATCCACATCCCTGCAGTTGACGAGGCGAGGTCGCGCGTCTAAAATCGCGCGGGCAGTCTCCACATCACCTGTCCGCGCGGCCTCTAGGAGACGTAGTGCAGCGGCATTGGAACAAGCGTCTGGAAGTAATAAAATATTGAAATAAATGAATAAGATAAAGCGTTAAGAGCACTGTCAGTGGCTTGAAGTAGTATTCTGCATATTTGTATGTTAAAAAATATATTTTGTAATATTAATAATTAAAAAAAAAATAACAAAACGACATCTGATGACGTCCTGACGTAGATATTTTACTTATAAAATATATAGGATCTGTTATCGTATGTACGTACATTCAAACGAAATGAATTCCTCCTTTCTTTTGGAATAGGTCAAAAATTCCCTTATTCTTTAAAGAAAGTAAAAGATATGTGTGACATTCATTTTGGCGGACTTACTCTGTATAATTCTTTAGTCTGAGATATGATATTTAATTGTAATGTTCATTCTATTTGCTATTTTAGTTTTGATTGCCAACATTATTACATTAAGCTACGCTATTTTTAATCAACGATGTACATCTGTACGGATACAAAACACTCTAGTCGTTTACGACCAGGCGACGGTCGCAGCGGCCAACTATAATATATAAAACTAGCGACTCACCCTCGCTTCGCTTAGGGTTCGTCCATACACAAAAATCTATCCCACGGAAACTTTACATTTTTCTGGGATGATGTACAGCCTATAATAGCCTTTCTCGACAAACGGGCTATCTAATGCAAAAATATTTTTTCAAATCCGATTAGTAGTTCCTGAAATTAGCGCGTTCAAACAAACAAACGAACAAACAAACCCTGTCTCTTTATAATATTAGTATAGACGGTCACATTAGCGAAGTGGTCGCAGTCTCCTTAGCAAGAGCGAGGTAAAAAAAAATTTAACACTATCCTCATTTCAAGGTTTTACAGTAACATATTTCGTAAAAGATAACGTTCGTTCTTTTCTATACGGTAAAAGTATATGAACAACTTCCAGAAATCTAATCCATTTGGTACTTGGTATCCAGGGACGGAGGAAGGGATGAACCCGAATGAAGCGAGGGTGAGTCGCTAGTCTATACTAATATTATAAAGAGTAAAGATTTTTTTTTGTTGTTTTGTTTGTTTGTACCGAATAGGCTCCAAAACTACTGAACCGATTTAGATGAAATTTGGTAAAAAGATAGTTTGAGACCCTGGGTAGGATATAGGATACTTTTTATTTCTGAAATTATTCCTTGAGGGGGTGAAGATGAGGATGAAAGTTTGTATTGGTAAGCAACCTAGGGATGAACCCGAGCGAAGCGAGAGTGAGTCGCTAGTTTATAATATTTTTATGGATATCAAGTAAAACTTAGTGGGGGTTTTGGTACCCTAGATGGGTATATTTTAGTCAAGTGTCACAGGCCACAGGCTACGCATACGCTCGAGCGTCGTCACGGTACACTATGGCTGTGGGGGGCAAATTTATAAAAGGTCGAGACGTCTGTTATGTGGTTAGTTGAGAATTTTATTCAGCCGGATCGAGCACGCTGTAAGTATAAATTGGTGTAAACTGTGGCGTGTGATTTTGTGTCTGTTTCAAACATTATACTCGTAGAACTTGTTACATACAAACTATTTGTGTTAGCTTATATATGTATTTTTTTGGTGTATTTTTAATTATTTTAATATACTAAACACCCACGGATGCTTTCGTTAAGTACATCAATAAATAAAATTAAAAAAAGGCTTTTAGGTGATCTATTATAGTAAATGAAAACTAACTACCAATCAATATTTTTAATTTTTAATGGTTTTATTTAAAGTCCGTTTTTGTTTTATTTTTAAGTTTTTCTTTTTCCATTTTTAGTGTAGACTACTACTATAGGTAGTAGCAAAGTGAGAAGAAAGTATTTTAAAAATTCAGTAGGTGAAAGAATTAATCATCCCTATTTTCAACACTTAGAGGTAATTTTTTTTTAAATTTAAACGGGACCATTTTTGAGGTATATCCAATAAAAAAAAATTGAAATCGGACTAAACTATACAAAGATATGAGTACTCAAACATTAAAAAAATATATTATACGTGTCGAATTGAGAACCTCCTTCATTTTTTCGTCGGTTAAAAATAGACTGTATCACTCAGGAATACAGTATACTTTTTATTAGTCAATCGATTTTTAGTTGTTCTAGATATTATATCAAATACAAAAAAATATGTCGATATGAGTGTTTTTTTTAAATATCATGTGGTTTTTTTTAAATATCTTCTTAGTGCCCAAGTTCGAATCGTTGATTTAATAATAGGGTCCCGAGAGAGTTCTCCATTTTACAAAATCCATACTTCCATACTTAATATTTATAAATGTGATAGTGTGTTTGTTTGTTTGTGTGTTTGTCCTTCTTTCATTTCCTGGCGGATTGGCGTGATGTTTTGTTTTTAGATAGTTGGAGAGCTGGAGAGTGACAAAGGCTACTTTTTACCGCTTGAGATTATGTCATTCCCACATTATTTATAATATAACCCAAACAATTATATATGATCAGAATTCCTTGAAACTTGGTATTAATGCTCTTCGATACAATTAAATAAATACGTGTTTTAACATTTTTAGAAATTTATCCCACAAGAGGGTAAAATAGAGGATGAAAGTTTCTACGAAACCTACGTATTTAGAGTTTTTTTTTTGTAGTTTTAGCGCTGGCGAAGTCACTTCTGCTAGTATATATATATATATATATATATATTATATATATATATATATATATATTTCATATGAACTACTAGTAGAAATTAAACCGTAACCGTTATTTAAAATTCGAGAATAACATATAAGAATACAATTTACCTACCTACCTACCTACAAAGTTTAACATATCATTTCTCACGCAGTTGGCTGGTCCGTCTTGTAGACCAAAATCGATCCGGAAAACGTTATTTTTATTTTGTTGAAGGTACAAAGTTCATTTTGTGGAAGGTATTTAACCGTGTGTCAGTAATTCTACGAATAAATTATATATTACGTACCGAATACAATTTATATACCGAAAAATACGATATTTTTTGTAATAAAAAAAGGGTCTCGCCCTTGAATTTGAATATTTAATAGCAGCTCAAGTTAAAAACTTAACTAATTTCGTATGTGTGTGAAGTCATTGTAACCTTTAGTTAAAAAGTAATCTTGTATATCAAAACGAATACTATACATATAATAAAATTGTAACTAAGCCGAACCTGTACATTAAATATTTTATGGAAAATGTTATTGAAATAAACACTATTATCGATACAGAGGCTGAATCTATAGTTTTTAGAATATTTGTCTGTCTGTCTGTCTGTTACCCCATCACAGAAAAACCACTGGAGCGATTTTGGTGAAATTTAGTATGGTGATAGCTGGTTATCAACATATAGGATACTTTTTACCGCGGGAAAAATGTCTCATTTCTGAGAAAAAATACAAAAACTGCAATGTAAGAGTATACTAATATGTAAAACCTAAAAATTTGGTTTTTGGTCACTGAACGAGGGCGGAGCCGCAGGCAATGCTATTCATTAATATAAATTAAAAATATCATATCTAATGGAGCCCCAGGAGATCTCTTACCATTTACATCAACCCTCTGTAGTCTATTATTTAAATACGAATTCAGAAGGTCGAGTGCCTTATTTCTAATACCATAGTGATGCACTTTTCTGATCATCGTCTCATGATGTACACAATCATAGGCCTTGGATAAGTCACAAAATACCTCAAGTGCATCTTGTGAACTTTCCCAAGCCTCGAAAATATTTTTTACTAACTCAACACTAGCATCTGCCGTGGAGCGGCCTTTCGTAAATCCGAATTGTTTCTTATGAAGTAGATTGTGTGCATTGAAATGCGTTAACATTTGCGCAATATTTTTTTTTTCTTTTACTAAACGTTGGCAGTACCGATTTTGAAAAAGTCTAAAACATAATATTATTTTCTGCAATCTATAAACAATGTATACAAAATGTATGTTTTCGAATTTTTTCGCGAATTTATTTAGATTTTTGGTTGAATAAAAAATATAGTTTTATTTAAAATGTCTAATTATCGCGTGAATCTAAGAAAGTATTACTGGAAGTAAAAAAAATAATTTACAAAAATAATAACACAAAAAAAAGATAAAATACACAATGATGTCAGACATTATATGAATTCTCAAGCTATCATGTAGTTTTATTTTTATAAACAATAATATTAATATAAAAACGTAAAAAGCGAACTAAAAATATAATAACAAATTGTCGAGAGAACATAGTATTGTGGTTTATTATATGGATTTTTTTATTTTACTTTTTTTTTGTTCTTTACAGCTTTTTATTTACTTTATTATTTATATTATCTTTACTATTCGTTTAAGCTGAAGAAAAATACATACAAGCAAAAAACATGACATTCCCTCCCCCTTTTAAAACAGTCTTGTCTATATATATGTATACTAGCGACTCACCTTTGCTTCGCTCGGGTTCGTCCCTAGCTTGCTCTCCGTTACAAGTTTTCATCCCCATTTCCCATCCCCAAGGGATAATTTCCGGGATAAAAAGTATCCTATGTCCTTCCCAGGGTCTCGAACTATCTTCTTACCAAATTTCATCTAAATCGATTCAGTAGATCCAGAGATAACCCCCTACAACGTCACAAACTTTACCTCTTTATAATATTAGTATAGATATAAACTTTGTATACAACGATTATCGTCATTAGAGAAATAATAGGTAACTATAATACATTACTTATCTACACGCTACAAGAAACACGCGACACGTAAAGACGTACTCACAAATTGCGTACTTCTAGCTACAAAACTTACATAATTTCTAACTATCTTTCGCATTTACATAAGGAAAAACCTTGTTTATTATACATTTTTTCTCACGACACAAAGATCGAGATCAACGCAGTATTTTAATAGTAATATCAATAATAATAATTCAGCCCTTTCAACTTTCCACTGCTGGGCACGGGTCTCCTAATGCGAGGGGGATCAGGTCAAAGTCCGCGCTTTTATTTTAACGTCAGGAAAACCCTGTTCCCGGGTACCCGTCCGCCTGGGGAAGCGGAATGGGTTATGTGGGGCTCCTGCCGGTCAAATATGGTAAGCGCACGGCAGCCTACCCACTAAAAACCTGACGAAAGGCCACTTCGCTGGCCAAGTGTGGAGCGGATTTCAAAGGTCTATCGGAAACTTGCTAGGTTATCTCATACATGCAGATTTCTTTACGATGTTTTCCTGCACCGTAAGTTCCAATGAAATTTCCATTTTCAATGTTGAAAATGATTCACACATGAAAATACCAGAAGTGCAAGACCCGGGATTTGAATCTGCTTCAAACGATCGTCCAAGTGAGCGCGTTACCACTGGACTACCATTATTACTCGTATTATAGAAACTTCAATTTCTCCACCGCGTTACCAATTGAGTTTTTTTATTTCCGGTATTGCTATGCCGCGGAAATTACATAATGTAAGTAAACAAAACAATGTAATAAAAACATTCAAATTAGGACGATTAATTTTAAAATCTCAGTCATCATCATTATTGTGTAAAACTGTAAACAAATAAGAATCTGTTTTAAAGTTGTTTATACTATAGATTTATACAACCGCGGGAAAATATCTCATTTCTGAGAAAAAATACAAAAACTGCAATGTAAGAGTATACTAATATGTAAAACCTAAGAATTTGGTTTTTTGTCATCTGAATGCGGGCGAAGCCGCGAGCAATGTTAGTATACTATACATTTTTGTTCGCGGCTGGTCTCACTTGGTAGATATATCGATAAAGAGTAATTGATATAGTCTGCATTGCTAGTAATTAATCTATAGGCTATGATAGCCCAGTGGTAACGCGTTCGCTTAGGTGACCGACTGAAACGGGTTCAAATCCCGGGTCTCGTACCTCTGATATTTTCATGTGCGAATCATTACCAACATGATTACCACTTGTCTTTCGATGAATAAAAACATCGTGAAGATACCTGCCTGTCTGAGAGAACCAAGCAAGTGTTCGAAAGACATGTGAAGTCCGCCAACCCGCACTTGGCCAGCGTGGTGAACTACGACCTGATCCCCCTCGTATTGAAAGGAGGCCCACCCCCAGCAGTGGGACTTTAAAAAGGGTTGAATACAATCTATATTCTATGATAAAACCAGTCTACTAATCCATAGAGTAGTCTAACGAAGTCGTATAGACAGGACAATCGTGCTGGGTGTGCCGGGAAAGAAACGCTCTCGACTGTCTTATACATCCTACTAGCAGAGCGCGCGGCTTCGCTCGCGCTAAAACTAAAAAATACTCTAAAAATTGGGTTTCATAAAATCTTTCATCCCCTATTTTACCCCCTTAGGGGTTGAATTTTAGAAAACACTGAAATACGTAACTCATTACTTTTGCCGTACTCAATTCATACGAAATTTCATGCAAATATGTCCAAGGAATAAAAAGTTTCATACAAACTTTTATACTTTATTTCGCCCACTTGCGGGTTGAATTTCGAAAAATCCTTTCTTAGTTAGTTAGGATGCCTTCGTCATATGAGGAACACGTGTGCGAAATTTCAATTTTCTAGCCTTAAGGGTTTGACCTGTGCGTTGATACATTAGTCAATCACTTTTGCCTTTTATATATATATATATATATATATATATATATATATTATATATATATAATACATACATAGATATGACAATCGGGAGACGGTCTTAGGATTGTCAGATATTTCTGTAACTCGCACTACACTTTAGCTTCGAAACCGTTCACCATGAAAAATTCTTTTTTCAAAATTCACAGTTGACTGAAGACTCATTGTTAGTAAACGCAAACTTTGTTCCAGATACTATGCCGCCATACACAGAGCAAACGCCTACTACAAAAACAGAAGGTCTAAACATAGACCACTTTGAGAAGCTCATAGCACCACAAGCTGAGACAAGGAAACACCAGATAGTGTACCAGAACTTAGTCACCTTCGGCTATGGACACGCCGCCGCGCTCTACGGCCTGTACCTTGCTTGTACGACTGCTACGTGGAATACGATATTTTTCCGTGAGTTTAAATTTCTTTATATTGTATTTATTGTATGTATAGTATTTATTCAGCCGTTTTTAACGTCCCATTGCTGGGCACGCACTTCGATACGGGTTGGAGTTGTTAGTGTGGAATAGAATAGACTATATATTATATCTAGTATATAATTTTTTGCTCATTGCTCGCGGCTCCGCCCGCGTTCAGATGACCAAAAACCAAATTCTTAGGTTTTACGTATTAGTATACTCTTACAATGCAGTTATTGTATTTTTTTCTCAGAAATGAGATATTTTCCCGCGGTAAAAAGTATCCTATATGTTGACCAGGATAACCAGCTATCACCATACCCAATTTCATCAAAATCCCTCCAGTGGTTTTTCTGTCATTCGGTAATTACAGACAAACAGACAAAAATTCTAAAAACCGTAGATTCGGCCTCTGTATCGATAATAATGTTTATTTCAATAAGATTTTCCAAAAAATATCTAATGTACAGATTCGGCTTAGTTACAATTTTATTAGATGTACATTGTACATAGGTATGAGTTGTTGTGGATTGTATTATAACGCGATCTCTCGTGGGAATGAGATAATCTCCCTCCTATGTCACTCTCCAGCCTATCAACTATCTCCGCACAAAAATCACGCCAATTCGTCACTCTGTTTCTATATGGAAAAAGGACAAATGAACAAACTTCTACATTAATAATATTAAGTATGGACATATAATATTATAGACAAGTAGCATCGCCTGTTGGCAAATTTTATCACTAACAGTAGTCTATATGCTCCTCCATATTATTGACGACACGTTTGGTTCAGTTTGTAATGACCCTACTTGCTGTGCCAGAGGTCGCGGGTTCGAGTCCCGCTGGGGGCAATCATTTGTGTGATGAGCACGAATCTTTGTACTCCAGTCATGGGTGTTTATATTTATAATATGTATGTCTTTAAAGTTATAAATGTGTAGTGTATCAACTATATTGTATCCATAACACAAGCCTCGTAGCTTACCATGGAACTAAAGTGTGCTGTGTGTTAATGTCCCAACATATTATGTATATTATTATAGTCTACTTACAGCACCATAGCATACAGGTTATATATCGATCTAACACCTTGGACACTACTTAGTTTATTTATTTAACAGCTGTTTATTTCTAAAGTTAACAACCGCAAGGCATAAAGCGTGAAGTTTTGCACATTTCGATATGCATAAAGAGATTTATAAATATGTACATATATTAATTCAATTATTACAACAAACATAATTAACCGACTTCCAAAAAGGAGGAGGTTCTCAATTCATCGGAATCTTTTTTTTATGTATGTTCACCGATTACTCGAAGACGCCTGAACCGATTTGGAATATTTTTTTGTTTCCAAGGGTATACTTCCCAGGTAGTCCCATATATAAATTTTATCGAAATCGGACGATTGGTTTTTTTAAAAAATAAACTAAATTATTTTATTACAATAAATTCTTTAATCGAATATGTTATTAAAACTGTCTTATTACAAATGACCTGCTTATTACGTCTACACTAAAAATGGAAAAATAAAAACTTAAAAAAAAAGCTACTTCCAGGCACTAAAGTGTGAAAAATAACTAAACGGAGGTTTTCATTTTGAATAGATACCTAATCAGATATTTTCGAAGTCGGTGCCAGCCTACAATATTTTAGTATATGATCATGTAATAGGTAAATATGTACTTTACGTATCGAAATATATTTAGCGTTGCTTTGCATCGACTGGCACCGACTTCGAAAATATCTGATTAGGTATTTATTCTAAATGAAAACCTCTGTTTAGTTATTTTTTACACTTTAGTGCCTGGAAGTCGGTTTTTATTTTTAAAAGTATTTATTATAGTTTAATAATCCTATTTCTGAACACTTTTTGCAAGTACAACTTATATTTTGGTAAGCTATTCGTATAACAAGTTTTAAATATATTATTTGACTATCAAATATAATATAATTCTTATGAACTAGTCTGATTAGGTATTTATTCTAAATGAAAACCTCCGTTTAGTTATTTTTCACATTTCAGTGCCTGGAAGTCGGTTTTTATTTTATTTTAAAAATGTTTTTTTATTTGTTTAATTATCTTATTTATGAACACTTTTTGGAAGTCCAACTTATATTTTGGTAAGCTAGTCGTATAGAAAGTTTTAAATATAATATTATATATATATATTTGACTATCAAATATAATATTATAGTTCTTATGAACTAGCTAACGCTCGCGACTCCGCTCGTGTAATTTGTTCTTGCAAGCACTCCGCGGCTTCGCCTGAGTTGGTGTTTTTGGATAGGAGAGATGATAGGGAGTCTAAGCATACATATAAAAATATTTTTAGGAAATGGATGAGTCAAAAGTTCTGGAGATTTACAGTTACAAAATTATCATATTTTATTCATACCTAAATACTGATGACCATCATCATCATCATCATCACTAAAGATGAACATACTTTTAAAGAGTAGTAAACATCCTCTTTCGTGTACAATTCATATTATTATAAAAATTAAGACTTTTAGTTTCGATTTTTCATATATGATCAGAATTACTTGAAACTTGGTATTAATGCTCTTCAATAAAATTCAATAAACACGTGTTTTAGCATTTCTGGAAATTCATCCCATAAGGGAATAAAATAGGGGTTGAAAGTTTGTATGGAACCTACTTTTTTAGAGTTTTTTGTAGTTATAGCGCGAGCAAAGCCGCGGGTTCTGCTTGTAATAATATAAAGGTTAAAATTTTTGTACTCCTTTTTTTTCACAAAACAACCGAAATCAACTTTTTTTTGGGATATAACAGTTAAAACAATGTAACAAAATGGACTCCAGCCTTATATACATACATATTAGTACAAATTACTCCGATCATGTTAGATGATAACCTGCCTCAATAAAGAGGTTTAAAAATGTACGTATTTGACGACACGTTTGGCTCAGTTTGTAGCGACCCTACTTGGTAGCGTCAGCGGTCGCGGGTTCGAGTCCCGCTGGGGGCGTATTAATTTGTATGAATTCATTTGTGAAAACAATATTTTATGTTTTCCTTTTATTAATACATACACTAGCTACATACCCTCACTTGTGTTAATAAAGACCCCCAATAATAGATTTTTCTCAAATATCTTCCATGTACTCGTACAGACAGCAATCAGTAACAATTTTATTATATGTATAAATTCTTTTTTGTTTGAAAATTAAAAGAAATCCTATACAAAGAGTTAAAAGTTAAAGTTCGACCAAGAAAATCCGAGAAACCATTTCGTGAACCGTGACGCCTTAATAATCTAGCGCAGTTAAAACAAGTTATTAATTAAAATTACAAAATTCAACATTAAATATTAAACAAAAAACAAAGACATATAAAATGTAGGAAGTTTGCAAATTTCATAATAAATCATACATTTAATCATTACGTAAACTCTGCCCTTGCACTGTAAGATCATAGACAATGGTTAGATTTTTATCACGTTATGGGAGTTAGACCTTTGCGGTTTTTATAGACTAATTGCTATATCTAGGTACTTAATAATATTCTGTACTTGTTATAGTCCGCGGCTTCACTCGCGTGTGAATCCAATTCTGTTTTAGAGAGCTAAAGCTGTTTGAAGACTTGGAACTAATGGACATATTAAAAAAAATAAGAATTATTTGTTTTTTAAATAAAACTATCTTTTCGAATTTTGTCGCGGATTTATTTGGATTTTTGTTTCCCGACGTTTCGAATGCTTTACAGCATTCATGGTCACGGGAGAGACTATATGTAGCAATATACTCTATGGGAGAGACGGAGGTGTTACATGTCTCGAAGGTATAGTTGTTACAGACAGCCTACCCACAAATAACAAAATGAAAATTTCACCAATTATCTTACAATATTTTTTAACTTTAAACATTTTTATAATTTTAATTACTGCCATAATTGAATATGGAATATTATTTATTTAATTTTGCTGTTATTATAATAATTTTAAAATATTAATTAGTAATCTATATTTAGTGTTGCCATTATTATATTTATAACCCTAAAGATAAATATAAAATATAGTGTTAATTATTTAAACCATATAATTGTTCTATGTGTAATTTAAAAAGTTAAAATTAATTAAGGATAATAATTTTAATTTAGTTTGCTATTATTTAAAAGACAAGTTACTAAGCAACACTATTACTATATACTTTTACAAATGAAAAATGAAAATTATTAATCTGACATGCTGTCATTTTGATCCACATAGTAAGAACTTACTAAATCTGCATGTCAGTTATGTTTAATAATAGGATCCCATGACGATGGTAGTACCCAGCCATCTTCCCTATTGAAATTTGGATGTTTTTTAATTTCTAAGGCTTCTCGAATCATTCTAGGGCGATATCAGTTTTCTTTCGCGAGGATTTGAGGTCTATCGAAGCGAATATAATGGCTTGGGCGGTCCTGGCTATGTTTACAGACAGCAGATGTTGTATTGCGACGGTGCTTCACATCAGCTATGTGTTCTTTGACCCGGGTTCTAATGGATCGCTTTGTTTGTCCGATGTAAGAGAGCCCACAATCACAATCAAGCTTGTACACTCCTGGATCTTGTAGAGGGATGTGGCACTTGACAGGTGGTAAGAACTGACTAATTTTCTTTGGCGGCTTGAAGTAAGTTTTAACTGAAGCTCGCTTTAGAATGTAGCCTATCTTGTCTGTGACGCCTCTCATGTAAGGTAGGACTGCAGGCACGCGCTCGACTGTGGCTGGTTTCACTCGGTCCCTGTGACGCAGGCGCGGCACTTGCAGCTTGTTGTCTCGCAGAACTTGCTTGACATGCAATTTGTTTGGTCCTTTTTAGAACGCAAATGACGTTATCTGTCGAGTCGGGTTTTAGTTTTGAAGCATTTTTTTTTATTTAAATTGTTTCGGGGGTTATTATTATATGGCGCTATATTGAATTTAGGGTGTCGTCATATAGTCTTTAATAACTAGTGTATCGATTTTGTTCCAAAAAGTCAATTATAATTCATTTAATTAATTATTAATCATACTCGTACTAGCGGGCACATTTAAATAGGCACCCCGGTCAAAACATATTGTCCCTTTTATTATTGTATATAAAAAATTGTTTTTGATTAAATACGCTATGAACGTAGCAATCTTCGGATCTTGATCCATAAGTATCTTTTGTAAATGAAAACTAGCAATCAGTTATTTTTTACTTTTTAGTGTTTTTTTTCTGTTTCTGGCTTTATTTTTATTATTTTTTTAAATTTTTATTGCCATACACTTGCTTTATTACCAACAGTTTAACTAGCTTAGTTAGTTAGTTTAACAACTTAACGGCCAGTTTTCTTCATTCGAATTATTTTATTCCAGAAATAAAAAAATTATCGAAATTAAAAATAATATACACTCTTCGTTTAATGTAGCTTCCTCTCAGCGAGAGTATTTTCAGAATCAAATCTGAAATTACCCCACATACAAACTTACAAACTGTACCTTTTCATAACATTAGTCTAGATTTATCTACATATATACATACATATATACACACACACATATATATATATTGTATTGTATTCAGCCCTTTTTTTAACGTCCCACTGCTGGGTTCGGGCCTCCCTTCAATACGAGGGGGATCAGGCCATAGTCCACCACGCTGGCCTAAGTGCGGGTTGGCGGACTTCACATGTCTTTTGAAAACTTGCTAGCTTTTCTCAGACATGCAGGTTTCCTCACGATGTTTTACTTCACCGTAAGACAAGTGGTAATCATGTTAGAAATGATTCACACATGAAAATATCAGAGGTGCGAGACCCGGGATTTGAACCTGCTTCACTCGGTTTCCTAAGCGAGCGCGTTACCATTGGGCTACCACTGCCTTTATATATATATGAATTTACTTGCAGATTACGTAATATTCGCGGCGGCCTCTGTGGGAGTGACAGCGGGCGCGCACAGGCTATGGACGCACAGGGCGTATAAAGCTAAAATGCCGCTTCAGATCATCCTCATGGTGATGAACACTTTCGCATTCCAGAACACCGCCATAACGTGGGTGCGAGACCATCGTTTACACCATAGGTAACTAAATTAATAGTGCTAGCAATAGTTCGTTGACCAACTTCGACATAATGTCACTGGTTCTATTCCTAAGAACTAAAAGGTTTGTCAAATGTGAACATTTTCTAACAAAGAGTAACAATTTGCTTTATTATATAGGAATACTAGCATTGCCCGCGGCTCCACCCCCGTTCAAGACAAAAATTCTAAAAACTATAGATTCGGCTTAGTTACAATTTTATTATTTGTATAGATTGCCCGATTTTTCCATTCTCCATATTCTGTCTCGCATTTTCCAAAAAAAATATATTAAGTCAGATTATTGGAAGATCCAAGTCTAAGAACTTCAAACAGGCTATGACGACTAAATAATAGAAACATCTACATAAATCCTATTGCCCCAAAAAACAGTACAACTATCTATCCAGCTTATTCTGTTGGAGACATTATTTGGTTTTGACGATCGTTAAGATGACACAGTCGAGGTTAAGCCCTTATCAAAATTATTGAAATAATAAATAGAATTTTCATCTTAATACAAATTACAGTTACGGTGGCCAATGTCACATATTACTAGATTAGTCTTCTGCTCGGAGATATATTATAGCAAATAAGTCCTTCAATATCGCGTTATCAACTAGACCTAAATTAGATTAAAGCGCAAGGATTCGAATCCAGGACTTTCCATTTGTACCATTTAAGTTGAACTAATCAAAATAGGTAGTCAAAAATCGCAATTATTTACAGGTACAGCGATACGGACGCGGATCCACATAACGCGACGCGAGGGTTTTTCTTCTCGCATATGGGATGGTTGCTTGTGAGGAAACACCCGGAGGTGAAGAGACGCGGGCAGTTCATTGACATGTCGGATATTTATGCCAATCCCGTTTTAAGATTTCAGAAGAAGTAAGTAAAAAATCGGGGCATTTTTTTTTAATTTCAGTTTTATCAATTGACCACAAATACAAGGGATTTATGTTGGTTGTTCTTTATTCGATACAATAAGAATTTTGTAAGCTCAAGTATGGGAGAGCAAAGTACTCATGTTATTATAGGAATACGTCATGGTTTTAGTTCTCTACTTTCAGCTATTTAATCTATTTAGTCTGGATGTTGAATTAATCAGTCAGGTAAAATTAATTTTATATGAAAAATATTAAGAATAATTCAGCAATTTTAACGTCCCGCTACTGGGCATGGGTCCCTATGGTCTGGTCTCCTTCAATTACGGAGGAGATCAGGCATAATCTACCACGCTGGCAAAGTTCTTTCAGACATGCAAATTTCGCCACGAAGTTTTTTTTTCGCCATAATATTAGAAAAAAATTGAAAAACTGAGAAAATCACCCGAAAAATTGGAAAATTTGTGGATAAATTGAAAGCGCTTTTTCTCCAGAATTTATTTAATTTTTATTTTCTATAACTCAATAATCGCAAAATTTAGAGAAAAGATAGGATAACATCTGTCAAGTCAAATGTTAATCAATAAATATAAAATTGTTTTGGGAACAGTACTAATTAATAATAATAATCATTATTAGGTATAGATAAATTCAAAAGTTTGTATGTATATGCGTATCTTTATTCTTTTTCTTTACACTGAAACAACTGGAAAGATTTAGATGGACTTTAGTACAAGTAAACTATGACCTTGGAGGACCCGAATGAAGTGAGGGGGTGGCGTTAGTATACATTAATATTCATTTATTGGGTAAGGCCGATAAAAAAAAAGAAATATATGCCGCAAACATTATTAATGAATTCTGATTACAACACACGAAATAAATGTCTACGTCCAAATATATGGCAAAACACACAAGGTCCGTTTTTTGGCGAAGGCCTGTTTATAATACGAATAGTGAATTTAATATTGATAGAAAAGTAACGGTATATTTTTAATATACTTTTAATCTATACATAATATGTATAGTTAAATTCTGAGTCGAATCTGTACATTAAATAATTTTTGGAAAATCTTATTGAAATAGTCATTACTATCGATATAGAGACCGAATCAATATAGATTTCTTGTCTGTCTGTCTGGGAACGCCTCAAGAGGAAACGAATGGGCATATTTTGATAAAATTTGGTATAATGATAGCTGGTTATCCGAGTCAATATATAGGATACTTTTTACTGCGGGGAAAATTCTCATCTCTGAGAAATCTATACTAACTGTTAAATCCTAAACATGACGGCATAAAAAGTATCCTCTAGTACAACTATAAACTTCGATCCCAATAAGTACGTTATCAACACGAAATCCCTATTTACAATATTATAAATATGAAAGTGTGTGTGTGTTTGTTTGTTTGTCCTTCTTTCACGTTGAAACAGAGTGACGGATTGGCGTGATTTTTTGTGTGGAGATAGTTGGAGGGCTGGAGAGTGACATAGGCTACTTTTTGCCGCGGGAGTTTACCTAATTAAAAACCACGGGGAAATACTCTATAACATAATCCAAAAAAAATTATGATCAGAATTACTTAAAACTTAGTATTAATGCGCTTCAATAAAATTAAATAAATACGTGTTTTAGCATTTTTTTAAATTAATCCTATAAAGGGGTAAAATAGATCCACTATTTTAAAGTATCCTCTATCCACTAGTTTAAAGTTTGTATGAAACTACTTTTATAGTTTTTTTTTGTAGTTTTAGCGCGAGCAAAGCCGCGGGTACTGCTAGTAAACATATAAAAAAGCAGTAGATTTTGATAAATAATTAAGTAATTAATAAAATGAAAAACTTTAGTGAGATCTTATCAATTCTAAAGCTAGCAAGCAATAAATCACGTGAGACTTCGCACGAGTTTATTATACGTAACAGAAGCTCATGTCATATAATTTGCATATTTACCAGTCGCGCGAGGTAATGCGTCAATTACAAAATTGGCCAAATACAAAAAAAGACGTCGGATAGTGTACCGTACAATTCTTGAATATTTTGTGGAGGTCAATGTATGGCACTAATGTCTGGTTGGGTCTCACGTAGGATAAGTGTGTGTATGTATGTATGTATGAATGTATTCAACCCTTTTTTTAACGTCCCACTACTGGGCACGGACCTCCCTTCAATACGAGGGGTATCAGGTCATAGTCCACCACGCTGGCCAAGTGCGGGTTGGCGGGCTCCATATCGTTGGCTCACTATTACAAGGTTCTATGTTACAATTTAAGTACTTATTTAGTTATTAATGCTATAAGGTTCTATGTGTATGTCACTAGCTACAGTTTTGCAAAAACAAACCACTAGATAGCGACACTACAAAATATTCAATTTTACACAGTTGTATATTGTTTTTTTTACGATCACAAAATAACGAAGTTCTATGTTAAAAATTACTAAACTTCATTAAAATTAACATAGAACCTTGTAATAGTAAGCCAACGAATTATGTCTTCCGAAAACTTGCTAGGTTTTTCTCAGACATGCAGGTTTCCTTGCGATGTTTTTCTTCACCGTAAGACAATTGGTAATGATGTTGAAAATGATAAGTAATTAATGGTAGGATAAGCAGATAATAATTATTGTATTGTAAATTTGTAAACAAATATAATTTTAAAAGAGACGTTTAATATAATTTTAAAAAATGTTACAATTGACAATTGTAAAAGTCTATTAATAAAAAATAATTTAATCTATACATATAATAAAATTCTAACTAAGTCAAATCTGTACATTAAATATTTTTTAGAAATTTTTTTTTGAAATACACATTATTATCGCTAACAGAGGTCTAATCTATAGTTTAAAGAATTTTTGTAAGTCTGTCTGTGACCGCATCACAGAAAAATCACTGGAGGGATTTTGAAGAAATTTGGTATAGTAATAGCTGGTTATCCGGGTCAACTAATATACTAATACGAGTATAACAATATATAAAACCTAAGAATTTGGTTTTGGTCATATTAACGCGGGCGGAGCCGCGGGTAATGCTAGTTTGGAATAAAATTATTTACCTAATATAACTTTTCCCCCTCAAAACCAGAATTTATTTAACATAACTGTAATTGGATATCCTAAAATATACGTAGTTACGAATCTCAAATTCAAACCGTATATTCATAATAAATAGGCGGTGACAAACAGAATTACAAACTATCCTAAGAGGTTTCCACTTTTACATTAGTAGAACTCTAAGATAACCATATTAACTAAACATTCTAATTATTTAAAAACTAAGGCAATATATCGTAAACGTAAGCTAAACTAATATGTGAAATACTACGTATTTACTTGTTTTTATGTCATAAATCCAATTATTAACACACGTATATATTTAAAACTGGTAATCCAGGGCAGCTATAATCTATACCATACATTCATTAAATAGGCAAAGACAAAAGGCAAAGGTAAACTTTACGGTTCCCGTGGGATGAGTTTTTGTCTAGGGACGAACCCGAAGCGAAGCGAGGATGAATCGCTAGTATCTTTATTCTAAATTATTCCATCCGTAAAAGTGGACAGAGTAGAAATGTTTTTTTTTACAGCAATCATGGTCACGGGAAAGACTCAACAAAAAAAAAACAAAGAAATCATCTCATAATAAAACAGGATAAAATTATCATAATATGCATTATTTTGTTTCAGATACGCTGTCCCATTCATAGGAACGGTTTGTTTTGTACTACCAACTGTAATACCAATGTATTTTTGGGGGGAGACTCTCAACACTGCGTGGCACCTCGCCGTGCTGCGATACGTTTGCAATCTTCACAACACATTCCTGGTGAACAGCGCAGCCCATTTATGGGGAAACAAGCCCTATGATAAAGCCATACAACCCGCTCAAAATCTCATGGTGTCCTTCTTCGCTTTCGGCGAAGGCTTCCACAACTACCACCATGTGTTCCCATGGGATTACAAGACGGCAGAATTAGGGAATAACTTTTTGAACATGACCACTTATTTTATAGATTTCTTCGCTTGGATAGGTTGGGCGTACGATTTGAAGACCGTTTCTGAAGAACATATACGGTCTAGAGCGAATAAATGCGGCGATGGTAGCAACAAATGGGGATTTAAGGAGTGACATATATAAATTGTCTATATGATGTAAAACGGCATATTCACTAAGTTTTTCACTGATTTTTGGGGTCCGATATTTCGGCACTGTTACCCAGAATACAGGGGTATCCTGGTGGCAACCATGGCGCTTGTTATATCAAACAATGCCCGTTTCACATCATAGAGACATTATCGGTGACCATGAGAACTTAAAGACTTACATAAATTTTGCTCAAATCTACCGTTCTGCCGTCATAAAAGGGCCGTAAATTCGTCAAAGTTGATTTCGAGATATTTAAGTTTTGTCTTACTAATATATCAAAATTACTACTAGTTTTAACGTAGTTACGATTAAAATGGTTATAGTATCTTCGGATTCATAACACTTAGAGCTTTACGAGTGAGCCTATCAAGTAGCATATATTTTGCTGATTCAGAATTTGCATATAAGTTATTTTAGACCAAATTTTTAGTTACGGCCTTCTTTCTTATGACGGCAGCGTTTTACTAGATCGCTTACAAAATGGTTATTTTTGCAACACAATTAAATGTATCAAATCAAATATAGTCCAGTTCATGGTCAAGCTATAATTTGATTTCTTTAACTTATTCTAATTTATTCATTTATTTTTATTCGTTTTTAGAAAAAAAGAGGACAATGTTACAAATTCGCGAAAATAATACTGTATGTAATTGTGACTGTGATATAAGTTTAAAGTGTGGCTAACAAGTTTTTTTATTTAATAAAGAAAATATATTAGTGAAACCGTTATTTGTGTTTGGTTTTTATAAAAACGTAATGTTTCTGTAACAATTATAATTAATTGGACCGATTTTGATCAAATATTTAATACGGATAGAATTAGTTTTCCAACTGCGAAGAGGAAAAAAGAAATGGTTTTTACAGTCAAAAAAACTAATGTAATTTTAAATGGAATTGACATGATATCATATAATAGGTACTTAACTCACTAATTAAATATGTTATGTTATTAAAATAACTTATAAAAATAACTAATAAAAAGCTGATTTAAGTATGTACAATGTATGGGTACCAAATGAACTCAAACTCGCAAGATTTTACTAGCGAATGTTGAATTCCACTAACCCACTTCCCGGCTCCGTCGTCAGATTCGTTCGATGGTTTCAAATCATAGCATTTTCAAGCAGGTCTTTAATATGTACAAAGTTTCAAATATATGACAGGTTAAAATCGACTTCTAAAATAAGATTTCATATATAATTATGTCCGCCAGCCCGCACTTGGCCAAGGTGGTGTGACAGAGCCTGTCCTGATTCCCCTCGTATGTTTGAAAGAAGACCCGTTCCCGTTAAAAAAGATTGAATACGGTATAACTATAGTTGCTTCACCTATAACGCTTTTTATAAGCTTTAATGATGAGAAAAATAATTTAAAAAAAAGTCCGAAACGGCTGGACCGATTTCGACCGGAACTTCACTGGCAGATAGGTGATGTTATAAGGAGTAACTTAAGTTACTTTTATTTTAGAAAAAAAATAAGGGTTCCGTTTAAAAATAATTAAAACCTACCTATGGACGCACTCGAACGAACCGAGATGTCGCTTGTACAGAATATAATCAGTCTTAAGTGAAAAAAAGATTTACGATGAATAAAACGTAGATACAAGTGCAATGATTTTAATACACAACGTCAAATAAATAATCTGCAAAATTTTTGCCTGTAAATGTCAAAATAATAAGATCCATTGGAAATAATAAAAAAATTAATAAATCACTCGTGTGACGCATAAGTTTAGATATACGCACACAAAAGTCTTATAAAAAATATATTTAATGTCAAGATCTAACTAACTTATGAGTGTATAAATTATAGTAGTAATTTTATAAGTGAACTAGCGACTCATCCTCGTTCCGCTCGGGTTCGTCCCTAGTTACGTTTTAACTTTTAGTAGGTATAGATTTCTCAGAGATGAGATATTTTCCCGCAGTAAAAAGTATCCTATATGTTCCCGACTTGTATGACCCGGATAACAAGTTATCATCAAACCGAATTTCATTAAAATCTGTCCAGTGATTATCTAGTGATGCATTCATAGATGGACAGACAAAAATTCTAAAAACTATGGATTCGGCCTCTGTATCGATAATAACATTTTCGAAAAAATATTTAATGAACAGATTCGACTCAGAATTTTATTGTACGTATAGATAAATTACAGTAACACATACACAAAATATAGTAATTTAAGCAAATTTTGATTTATTATAATAAATCAAAATTTGCTTAAAGTCCGCCAACCCGCACTTGGCCAGCGTGGTGGACTATGGCCCGATCCCCCTCGTATTGAAGGGAGGCCCGAGCCCAGCTGTGGGACGTTCAAAAGGGCTGAATACATTAATAACCATTGGGTTGCTCCGGGTTTCTTGGCTTCGCACCCGCCTGAATTGTCATTAGCGAATGAGCCCCCACCACCACCACCACGACAAGGTAAACACACATTAGACCAGGGTCGATAATTTTTAAAACCAAAATAATAATAGTAGGATGAAACCCATTAGAAAAGGAGGGGAATATTATAAAAATGAAAGGAAAAATAATTTACGGGCGATCTGAGGTCGGGGAGGGGATGGAGGTGAGTTTTTAAGGGCAAAAAAGGGTTTTTCTCGATTTCTGGCAAAACTAAAAGTCCTATGGAAAAAAGTCAAATGGAAAAGTTGTAGGTAATAAAAAGATCTAAAACTTTTGTATTTACACTTTTTTCACATAACCTCAAAATTTATGTGAAAAATTCAAAAAACCAAGTTTTTGGTTTTTTATTTTTATCTTTTTCAAAAAAAAATATTTTTTCACAAAATTTGATGAAAACTTACCTTTTTATGTCCCAAATACGCTGTAATTTATTTGATTAGAAATATTTATTTTTTCACCTTCTTTTGAATTAATATCGAAAAAGCACCCTAATTTTCAATCGAAAATATTCAAAATGTCTTCTCTTGTATTTCATTGCCAATAGATTATCTTGTGTGTAACATTAGCAAAGCATATACAGTAATAATCATCGTCTCAGTGTTTTTTTTTTCCAAACAACCAATTTACCGAAACAGTTTTTAATACATAATTATTGATATTTAAATGTTAATTCTATTGGTATTAAATACACAGTTTATTTTAAAAATAATAATAATAATATAGCCTTTATTCAGACACATTTGTGTTACAATATTAATTAGAATAAATTAAAATTATGACTCTCGTGAGTCGACATCGACAACGGTCTGTGTGCCGCCATTGGCAAAGGCCTCCTCCATATCTTTCCATTCTTTTCTGTCAAGTGCTGTCCTGGTCCATGTTTTGCCAGCTGTTGCTTTTATATCATCTTCCCACCTTAGTAACTGTCTCCCACGTTTTCTTTTGGCGTTTCTGGGATACCAGAAAACCAAAGCTTGGTTCCATTTTTTAATGCCTCTTATTGTGTGGCCAGTCCATCTCCATTTCAGTTTCCGAATCCTACATATTACATCATCAACTTCTGTCTGTTTCCTTATTGTTTTGTTCCTTATTCTGTCGCTTTTCTTGATATTAAGCATGCTCCTCTCCATCGCTGTTTGGCAGGTCTTTATTTTTGCATGTTGTGTTTTGGTGAGGGCCCAAGTTTGGCAGCCATAAGTGAGGACTGGTAACACGCAAGTATTGTATAACTTTTTTTTTTAACAAACATTTTTGTTTCTTTGTTTTTCATTACTTCTTTTAATCTCCAATAGCTTTTCCATGCGTTGCCTATTCTTGTATCTATTTCTTTAGACATTAAATTAGTTGTTGAGATCAGTTGGCCTAAGTAGGTGTATTCCTTCACATATTCGATTAGTTCGCCATTTAATGTAATAGGGTCTTCGGTCGCGTTTGTCATTGTTTTAGTTTTAGATAAGTTCATTGTTAGGCCAACCTTACGGCTTTCTCTTTCCAGATCTTCTAGCATGTTTTGGAGATGGATTCTTGTTTCAGCAAATATTACGATGTCATCCGCGAATCGCAGGTGGGTTAGTCGTTCTCCATTTATGTTTAAGCCGTACTGGTCCCATTTTATTTTCCGAAATATTTCTTCTAAGACGGCAGTGAACAATTTGGGGGATAGGGGGTCTCCTTGGCGAACACCTCTATTTATTTTTATTTCTTTTCCCTTCTTTTCTAACTTTACCCTGGCTGTACTACTCGTGTAAACATTTTTCAAAATTCTAATATATTTGTATTCGACTCCTTGGTTTTTCAAGCTTTGCCAAATGCTTTCGACTCAATCGAGCACGATTGAGTCAAAAGCCTTATTATAATCTATAAAGCCACAGTAGAATGGTACATTGTATTCTTTGTTCTTTTCAAAGACTTGTCTTACTGCATGAATGTGATCGAGTGTTGAGTACCCCGCCCTAAACCCGGCTTGTTCTCTAGGTTGGTTCTCGTCTAGAGTCCTTGTTATTCGAAGAAGAATGACCTTTGCGAATATTTTGTATATATTGGACATTAAGCTGATAGGTCTGTAGTTGTTTATTTCGCTCTTGTCACCTTTTTTATGCACTAGTGTTATAATCGAATTTGTCCACTGTGTTGGTATTATTTCCGTGTGTAGTATGTCGTTAAAGATATTTTTTAGAATAGGTGCGACGTAGTTTTTGCAATCCATTAGTAATTCATTGCTAATTTGGTCAGGTCCAGGGGTTTTGTCTGTTTTCTGTGTTTCTATGGCTGTGGTTATCTCCTCTTCCAGGAAGGGTGGTACATTGTCGTTATTCTTTAGATCAGTTTTGTTTATGTCATTTTTCTTAGAATACAAGTCTTCGTAGAATTTAGTAGCCACTGAGAGTATATCCGGTCTTTTATTTTTTGTCACGCAGTATCGATCTTTCATCTTCGGTATCCAGTTTGTCTTGTCTTTTAATAGCTTAATAGCTCTCTTGATACCTCCATTCTTAATAATATGTTTCTCGAGGATCCCAAGTCTTCGGCGTTCTCGGTCTTTTCTGATTTGTGTGTTTATTTCTTTACTTAGTTGTCCTATTTCTTCTCGTATGCTTTTTGTTTTATTTATAATCTTTATCAGGTTGGACCTTTTTTCTAGGAGCTGCTTAGTCTTATCGGACATATTATTTTCCTTTGCGTTTTGTTTGCTTTTATTGTTGGTCTTTGATTTCGTTGTTAATATTTCATGTAGTAAATTATATTTTTGTTGAGTGTTTAGGTCTTCAATAGATATTTCTTTCAAGGAATTAAGTTTTTCTTTAATAGTGGCGATCGAAACTGTATCATTTGAAATCAGGGTTTTAACTTTGAAGGGTCGACTTAGATTTAAACTTGATGATGTGTTAAGACACGCTCGGAGCATTCTGTGATTGCTATTAAAATTGAGGTTTGCGATAGTGCTACAATCATCGAAAGATTTAACTCTGTTTGTCAGAATGTAGTCTATTTCGTTTCTATACCGCCCATCTGGTGATATCCATGTCCATCTCTTCGATGCTCTTTTTTTGAACTGGCTATTCAGTACTTTCAAGTTATTTTCAAATACAGAAGAATGATTCCTCGACTTTTACACTACACTCTTCTTCATTACTTCACTTTATTTCATAATCACTATTTTCGATGTTTGTGACGTTAATAGCTTGTTTTGGTTGGTTTTTCTCAGTGTTTGTGATTAACTTTATAGCGAGTCGTTACAGAGATGTTTTCTTTACGGAAGCCGGAAACGGAACCACACACACAGTTTATTTTAAAAATAAATATTAATAAATAAATATGTTGGGACATTGACACACAGCACCATCTAGTTCCATGGTAAGCACAAAGCTTGTGTTATTGATACCAGATAGTTCATACACTACAAATATATAACTTTATATACATACACATTATAAATATACATACACATTATAAATATACATACACATTATAAATATAAATACCCATGACTGGAGTACAAACATTCGTGCTCATCACACAAATGAATGCTCCCAGCGGGACTCGAATCCGCGACCGCTGGCACAGCAAGTAGGGTCACTACAAACTGAGCCAAACGTGTCATCAACAAAAGAATCCGAAAAGATGTATTTTACTCTATACTAGCGACTTCCCTCGTTTCGTTCGGGTGCGTATCTAAGATCTTTTCAAGAGGAATAATTCTGTAATACATCTATACATATAATAAAATTGTAACTAAGCCGAATCTGTACATTAAATATTTTTTGGAAAATCTTATTGAAATAAACATTATTATCGATACAAAGGACGAATCTATAGCTTTTTAGAATTTTTGTATGTCTGTTAGTCTGTCGGTCTCTCTTTGTCTGTCTGTCTGTCTATTACCGCATCACAGAAAAACCACTGGAGGGATTTTGATGAAATTTGGTATGGTGATAGCTGGTTATCCGGGTAAACATATAGGATACTTTTTACCGTGGCAAAATATCTCATTTTTGAGAAAAAATACAAAAACTGCAATGTAAGAGTATACTAATATGTAAAACCTAAGAATTTGGTTTTTTGGTCATGCGAACGCGGGCGGAACCGCGGGCAATTCTAGTTTTTTTCATATAACTCTGTTGGTTTACGCGGCGCACACCATTAAAGCTCCCAGTCGGCATGACTTTTCCGACATCTTCGACAATCATCGTTATATTTCAGTCAATTTACACAAAAACTTAATGAATTATACACGTAAGCCTTCCTCATAAATCACTCGTAATAGTTTTATATTAAAAATGTACGGTACTGCGGTGCCATTTGTGTATTTCATCCAAATTTTTATACAACTTTGTGGGTAAATACCGTCTCTGTGACAACTATATATTGACTTCTGAGACGTTAAAAACTTTAGTATCTCCCGTGACCATGTTTTCTGTAAAGCATTCGAAACGTCGGGAGCTAAAATCTATACCTACTAATATTATAAAGAGAAAGAGTTTGTTTGTTTTTTTTCGATTTGATAAAAATATTGTTACTAAACAGTATTGTATTTCTTTAATTATCACTGGTGAACTTAAATAAATAAATAGAGCACACGAGTGAATGAGTGAGTGAGTGAATGAATGAATGAGTGAGTGTGAGTGACTGACCGTCGGCGTCGGGGCGCGCGTCGGGCGCGTGCGCGCCGCACGCCAGCAGCAGGCGGCAGGCGGCGGCGGAGTCGCGGCGCGCGGCCAGCGACAGCGCGCTGGCGCCGCGCGCGTCGCACGCGTTCACCTTCGCGCCTGCGCACACACGACACACGCGCGTTTAGTTATCATTTGTTGTTTAGTTTAGTTCAGCTCATCACAAAAATGAATGCCCCCAGCGGGACTCGAACCCGCGACCGCTGGCACAACAAGTAGGGTCACTACAAACTGAACCAAACGTTGTCGTCAAATATATATCTATGTAGTCAGAAATAGTGTAGCTTTCTATTAGTGAAAGAATCTTTGGAATCGGTTCAATAGTTCCAGAGATTACCCTCTACAATTAGTACATACACAAAGTTTAACTCTTTATCTATACATGTAATAAAATTGTAACTAAGTCGAATCTGTACATTAAATATTTTTTAGAAAATCTAATTGAAATAGACATTATTATCAATACAGAGTCCGAATCTATAGTTTTTAGATCTTTTGTCTCTCTATCTGTCACCGCATCACAGAAAAACCACTGGAGGGATTTTGATGAAATTTGGTATGATGATAGCTGGTTATCCGGGTCAACATATAGGATACTTTTTACCGCGAGAAAATATCTCATTTCTGAAAAAACATGCAAAAACTGCAATGTAAGAGTATACTAATCTGTAAAACCTCAGATTTTGGTTTTTGGCCATCTGAACGCGGGCAGAGCCGCGGGCAATGCTAGTTATTTTAATATAAGTTAAATTTTCCTAATATATCGTGAACTTTGTTTTTGTAAAATAAAATGTGTTTAAAGCGAAATGATTGGGTTTAAATAAAACTAACCATGCCTCAGCAGCAAATCCATGGCATCGAGATGCGCGTGGTCGGTGGCGACGTGCAGGGGCGTCTGTCCGTCCTTGTTCTTCTCGTTCACCCTCGCACCCTTGCGGATGAGGATCTCCATTACCTGAGATATGGTTCATTGAATTGAATTGTATAGAAATTAAATTCATTGAATTGGACTAAATAATAGGATGAGCGAAAAAAAAATAGTTTTTCTTAGTTTAGGAGTAGAATTTGTAACTTATAAAAAAAATTGGAACAAAAAAAATATTTTACATTTTGAAGTGACGTACTGATTTTTAAAATAATAATTTTAAATTTTTGGTTTGAATGGAATTTTTTTGTGGAATGTGAAATGACTAAATTTATCAATTCTTTAATGTTTTCAAAGATCACTCGAAAAAAAATAATTCACAAAAATTTAAATTAATTATTAATTTTAAAAATCAGTGGGCCCTCTCAAAATGTTGAGTTAAAATAAAAAAATAAAAATTATTTAAAAAAAATAGTTTTTTTATAAGCTACAAATTCTACCCCCAAGTTAAGAAAAAAAATTTTTTTTTCACTCCAGCCTAGAAAGCAATCATACTATTATTGTAAATGTGAAAGTTTGTATGTGTTTGTATATTTGTTAGTAATTCATAATGAAATGGCTGAACAGATTTGGATACAATTAAATCACAAGTTTAAATATAAACTTTACCCAAATGTGGAATTATAAAAAAAGGCATGTTTATTGTTAGAATACTTAGGTTGACGTCAGTGTCACTAATACATAAACTTACTGAAGAGTTTTAGTATAATTTTTTTAAACAGAAGAAAAATGATGTATCCAGTCATATTTATATATTTTTATACATTCGCATCAAAAACAACTTTAAATGCAATTTTTTAAGAACGCTCAACAATATGACTCCATGCCACATGATGTTAAGCGACAGTGGAATCCAGGAATGAAATCTATCGGTTCCGAGACAAGATCTTGTCATCTCGTCGGTACAAGATATCCAGGTTTCATCATAATGAGATTATTATTTTTTAATTTTTTTTTCTGAATAACGAATTCGTATGTATGTACGTATTCATACTAGCGACTCACCCTTGCTTCGCTCGGATTTGTCCCTAGGTACGTTTTAACGTTTAGTATGAAATATAAATCTTTGAATTTCTCGGTTTTTCTGTTCTATAATATACAAGTATTATACATATAAACCTTCCTGTTTACTCTATCTATTAAAAAAAACGGCATCCGCAATCCATTGCGCAGTTTTAAAGATCTAATCACACATAGGGACAGACAGACAGCAGGAAGCGACTTTGTTTTATACTATAATATAGTGATAGCGTACCTGTTTCCGCTTGGGGTATATGCTGGCGGCGGCGCAGTGCAGCGCGCGCTCGCCCGACTCCGGGTGCGCGAAGTTGGCCAGCTCCGCGCACCCCGCCGTCGCCGCGCCCGCGCCCGCGCCCGCCGCCGGCGGCTCCTGCGGGAGAGAGACGGACATATAGAGACAGTGGGGGGAGAGGGAAATGGAAGAAAAGTTTGTTTTCCAACAGTGCTTGCTACCAACGCTGCTATCATGAACATTTATCGAAACTTAATTCAAAACAAGAAATACTATATTCGAAAGTTTGGAAATAACATTTTAAAAATGTTGTGTTTTTTAATGTGTAATTTGTTTCTAAGAAAATTAAATATTATCTCTTATCTACAATATTAATTTTATTCACAAAAAAATATTACTTTTCTTAATACCTCCAGGTAAATTGCTAAGAAATTAATTAAATTTCTAAGAAATCTATTGTTAACTGTAACGCCGGCGTGTCCGCGGTCGTTGAGGCATAATCAGATTTTAGCAGGATTTAAGACATTTTGATTATTTTGAAAGTATTTTGAAAATTCTATTATCTCTATATATTTTTTTATTTAAAAAGCAGTTCATGTGAGACACCACAGACACTTTTTAGTACATAATATAGGTAATTCCAATAGCCTCCAAGTAAAATGACTGTGACATACAAACAAACAGACTGATATAACGAAATTATAAGGATTCTTTAACTGCCCTTTCGTCACCTTAGTGCTCATTTCTTCAAACGGCCAATACTTATTGTACTTTACAGTAGACTTTTTTCTTTTATTTTAAATTCAAACCGTCATTTCTAAGTTTTACATATACAGGGTAAAAATACATTTTTTCGGCTTCATTAAAGTAAGTTAGGTATTTAATACCAATAAAATTGACATCTAAAACAATAATTCAGTATTAAAACCTCTTTCTGTAAATTGATCGTTTTGACAAATAAGTACTGAGACAACGAATAATCTCCAATTAAAATGCCTATGACATACATACAAACGGACAGACTGATATGACGAAATTTTCTACTTATTATAACTATCTTTTATATTATAATTTTTTTGTATCCTTACTTGTTGTCCTAGGGATGACAACTGTTTCTTGACTCTAGCGGGCTCCGCGAGCCGGCACGCTTCTAATAAACAATGTCCGCGGTATTCGACTGGAATGGAAAAAAATATTTTATTATAGATCTCAATATGGTCTTATTAGAAACAAAGAAAAATCAATAAACTTATAATTAAAGAAAAATAAATCTTAGAGGTATATCCGGTTTAAAAAAAAATAGGTGTTAGGTGTAAATGTTTAAACATTTACGCGCGGTTGAAATAAAACTTCTTCGGCAAATATCGCAATTAAGTTAAAAAAAATAATTCTTAAATATGGTATATTAGGCATATTACAATTATATATTTATAGAATATCATATACGGAAAGAATTTGTCAGACAATAACAACGGTTACCATGGCAACATGGCAATGTATTCTATCTCGTTCTCTCGCCGGCTTAATCCTATATATTTATTATTTACATGTTTGTCTCTTTCTCGTGAGGCTTTTTCGTTTCACCGAGTTTCAAATCACAACGATTCTAAAGAAGTTTCACTTCAAAAACTTTAAATAATCCTTTATTCTAAGATGACTCTACAACTTTTAGAAGTAGAGTTACGAGACCAAAGCTAGTATGACACACTCACAGGCGAGCCGGTCGCGCAGCTCGCGCGTGGGCGCCACGTCCAGCGCGGACTTGCCGTGGCAGTTGAGGAGTGTGGGGTCCGCGCCCTCGCTCAGCAGCAGAGAACACACCTGGGGATGTTCAGAATTTTTTTACGGATGACTTTAATAGGTTTCAGTTGGCTAAATCCAAAATTAAAAAAAAACGACAAAAAAGTTCTACAAAAAGTAAACGACTGAACCGGTTTTTATAAAACATATTTAAGAATCACCGTTAAAAAACCGACTTTTGTATAAAAAACCGCATCCAAATCGGTTCACCCGTTTACGAGCTACGGTGCCACAGACAGTTATGTCGAGACTCATCAGGCCAGTACTACCCACTAAAACCCAAAAGAACCTTTCTCACCTTAACCATACATCAAGATTGTCTACTTCTGTCCTATATTAGCAGAACCAATATAGTTGGGGAAGACCATCTTGAAGTGCCTATCACCACAATGCAAAGGAGGAAATTTATATCTGTGGAAACTCTGGACAAGACGCACCCATCCCAATCCTAACGTCCGTAAGCCCCTGAAACCCGTAACTAACAACTCACCCCCACCCTAACCTCCCTAAACCCCTAGAACCCCCAACAACCCACCTCGAACCCAACCTCCCTAAAACTGTAGACCCCCAACAACCCACCTAGAACCCAACCTCCCTAAAACTGTAGACCCCCAACAACCCACCTAGAACCCAACCTTCCTAAAACCCCGGAACCCCAGCAACCCACCTCGAGCCTCGCCTTGCTGGCGGCCTCGTGCAGCGGCGTGAAGGCCCACAGGTCGGTGGCGTTGACGTCGGCGCCCGCGCGCACCAGCAGCTCCGTCACCTCGTAGTGCCCGTACGAGCACGCGTTGTGGAGAGGGACCAGACCGCTGGAATAGAATAATTATTGTTTTATTTATAATATGTATGTATTTAAAGTTTTATATTTGTAGTGTATCAACTACCTAGTATCCATAACACAGGCCTCGTAGCTTACCATGGAAGTAGATGGTGCTGTATGTTAATGTCCCAATATATTTATTTATTTAATTCGATCGGGTCCTTAGCTACGTTTTAAACAGATAAAAATAGTTTAAATGATTGAAAATATAATTAAAATTGAAAACTACTTTTCAATTGTTACTTAATTCCCATTTGAATCGGATTTTGGGTCACAATTTCATGGGTTTTATATTTTTGTGGGGAACAATAACTCTATTTCTTAAATAAAAGTCAATCAATCAATCAATCAATCAGCCTATCGCCGTCCACTGCTGAACAAAGGCCTCCCCCAAAGAGCGCCAACCATCCCGGTCTTGGGCAGCCTGCATCCATCCACTGCCAGCCACCTTTCTTAGATCATCTGTCCATCGTGCTGCAGGGCGTCCTACACTACGCTGGCCTAAACGTGGTCTCCACTCTAGCACGCTTCGGCTCCATCGGCCATCCGTACGTCTGGAGACATGACCAGCCCACTTCCACTTCAGCGAGCTTATTCTGTGCGCGATGTCGGTTACTTTAGTTCTCTGGCGAATGACTTCATTTCGAATTCTGTCTGCTAGAGAAACTCCAAGCATCGCGCGTTCCATTGCTCGCTGAGCGACTTTGAATTTGTGGACCAGCCCTGCGGTGAGTGTCCACGTTTCGGCTCCGTATGTCATTACGGGTAGGACGCACTGGTTAAATACCCTGGTCTTAAGGGATTGTGGGATAGATGACTCTAGAATATGACGAAGCTTCCCAAAAGCCGCCAAAAAAATAAAAGTGACCTAAATTATTTCTTATAATATCAGTTATCTGCCAATGAGTCCCGTCAAAATCAGTTCAGCAGTTTCGGAGATTAGCCGGAACAATCAGACAGACAGACAAAAGTTTATATAATATTATTTTCTATTAAGCACCATACAACGTAAATATCCTTCACCTTTGAGCAGACTCACTACAATCATTTAAAATTTGAATTAATCCCTGCTTAGAAATTAAAGAAAATCTTTAAAAATTAAACTATTTCTCAAACACATAAGTGGTACAAATCACTATCCTGACCACCACAACTCTGAAACTGATCCCTCACCCCTTATCCTTGGCATGGACATCCGCCCCTCTCTGCAGCAGCAGCCGCACTGCTCTTGCTCTATTGTACCCTGCAGCAAGATGCAGAGCCGTAGAGCGTCTCCCATCGCTGGCGTGCACGTTCACGTTGAGAGGGGTGAGGAGGGAAGCCAGACGCTCGTCTGCTCCTGATCGAGCTGCTTCTAGCACGTCTGCTGCACAGTATTCACCTGGAATATGGAGTATCATAAGTTACCCTATAGGGACAGGTTCTGTTATAAGCTTAATTTTTTGTGATGTTGAAAAAACCAAATAAACACATTGTATGTCAAGTATGAATATTTGCAGAATAATACTTTCTTAGATTTACGCAAATATTTGGCATTTTAAATAAAACTATCTTTTCCGATTTTTTTTGCGGATTTATTTTGATTTTTTTTTAAATGTTTAGAATTAAAATTAACAAATATTGTAAGCTATTTTGATGCCAGTTTTAAATGTTTGTCTCTCCCCTGACCGCTCTGTGACGCATAAAGTACACACGGCAATAAAACTAACCTATGTCACTCTCCAGCCTTTATGGGTATGATCATTTCTGATATTTTTTTGATTGTTAAAATGCCTTCTTTCCTGACACACCAGATTCCTCATAGACAAAATGGCGTCAGTTGAAAATGCCACCAAATGAAGTTGCCGCAAATTGTGATCATTTTCCTATTTTAGAATACATAATTTGACCAACCTGTTAAAACAGGCCTGGTAGTAGAGTCCGCTAGATCTAGTGGTGTTTTGCCTTCTGTGTTTCTTATGTTCGGATCGGCGCCGTGCTGGAGGAGTGCTGAAAACAAACATTAAGTGCAATAAATTAAATAATAAAATGAAAACGTATATTAACTATTATATGAAATAAATACTATTTAGATTAGGGTATGAGGGTAATTTCCCCCCCAACGTGCGTTCACCTTGTCGTGGTGGGGGGGCTCAGTAGTGCCCGGCAACCCAACCGGGCGCGAAGCCAAGAAACGCACAGGGAGGTGGCCCTCTTCGGAGGGCGGTGTACCATGCGGGTTGCTCCTGGTACTTCTCTGATAGCAAAGTGGACCTTGGAGCAACCCCGTGGTTGTTGTGGTCTGCTTTGGCAGACCTGCCGTCGGGGCGTCGTAGTTGAATGCGTAAGCGATCCTGCGACGCCCCATTAAGACGGGGGAAGGCTTTGTTGGGTTTTAGTGGGTAGTACTGGCTTTACTACATTTCCCAACGTTAAAAAAAAAAAAGGGATGCTCAAACCAATAGTTATAACTGCATAGATGAAATGGAGTTTCTTTCGCCAGTTCTTCTCAGGTCTGAGGCTTCTTCTTTCCGAACTGGCAGTAGACTCATGACGTTCAGTAAAAAATTGTAATAATTTAATGCTGAATAAAATATTTTGAATTTTAATTCGAAATCACAAGCTGCTCTTCTTATAAGACAAAAACAATTCCAATTTATGTTTTATTACAACAAAAATAATACAATTTTATACACATTAATTGTTTACCTAGCTCACACGTATTTAAAAAATTGTGTTAGTGCACATATAAGGTTTTTATATCCAATTTTTTAATCATTACATACCGATACAAACATCCACTTTCCCCTTCGCAGCAGCTTCATGCAACGGTGTGTACCCCCAGTTATCACGAGCCGCTGGTGGAGCCCCAGCAGATAGCAAAGCTCTCACTACATCTGCATGACCGAAGGAGCATGCATTATGTAATGGCTGAAGTCCCCCCTCATCACGAGCTTGTAGGGCTGCACCACCTGCTATTAGTATCTCTACCACTTCCCTTCGTCCATAACCTATAATGAAATAGCATAAAACATTAATACACATACATAAATAAATCAAATTAAAGTCTCCAGTAGGATATCAAACTATGATCCTCATGATCCTCGTCTGGTTATTTCCATAACTCCAAAGCGATCTATCTGTATTATGTAGAATAACAGAAGCAATATAAAGAAAATTCTTGAAACTGATAGGCACAGATTCCTCTTCATCTCAGAAGATGCAAAACCTTCCTATGAGATAGGGCAGCAATATGAATTAACTGGTATTTTAATTAACACAAAGTGAAGGGAGTGTGGAAAAAATATGATTTTAATGTAAAAATGTAATGCAAGTAAATCAATAAAATTAAGAACTAAAATGATACAAGCTAAGACATAGTTTTTAGTTCTCCTGATTTTTGTGAGTTCAAAGATTTTTTGTATTATTTGTAAACAATAGTTTTTATTTTACATCAAACACATAATAACTTAATTGTATATTCAACTAGCAGGACCCGCGGCTTCGCTCGCGCTAAAACTACAAAATATCCCCAATAAGATAGTTTCATACAAACTTTCATCCCCTATTTTACCCCCTTATAGGATGAATTTCAAAAAATGCTAAATCACGTATTTATTTAATTTTATTGAAGAGCATTAATACCAAGTTTCAAGTAATTCTCATCATAAATATTTTTTTGGATTGTATTATAACATGTTTGCCCGTAGGAAATAGATAATCTACCGTGGTAAAAAATAGCCTATGTCTCCACACAAAAAATCACACCATTTCGTCACTCTGTTTCGAGGTGAAAGAAGACAAACAAACACACACACTTTCACATTTATAATATTAGTATGGAAGTATGGATTTTTTACAACTAGCAAATGCCTTATTTCTGTCCATATCTTATATATTTAAACGAGCAATTCTTGTATATATATATAATATATCAACTAGCGTTGCCCGCTGCTCCGCCCACGTTCAGATGACCAAAAACCAAATTCTAAGGTACATATTAGTATAGTTTTACAGTGCAGTTTTTGTATTTTTTCTCAGAAATGAGATATTTTCTCGCAGTAAAAAGTATCCTATATGTTGACCCGGATAACCAGCTATCATCATACCAAATTTCATCAAAATCTGTCCAGTGGTTTTCTCGTGATGCGGTAACAGACAGACAGAAAGAAAGAAAGACAGACAGACAGACAAAAATTCTAAAAACTATAGATTCGGACTCTGTATCGATAATAATATCTATTTCAATAAGATTTTCCAAAAAATATTTAATGTACAGATTCGAATTAGTTACAATTTTATTATATGTATAGAAGATATATAATCTGAATCTCGGAAACGGCTCCAACGATTTTCATGAAATTTAGTACACAAGGGGTTTCGGAGGCGATAAATCGATCTAGATTAGTCTTACGTCTGGGAAAATGGGTGTTTTCAAATTTTCCAAGCGAAGCTCGGTGGCCCCGGTATTTTTAGAAAATGTCATTTTATTCGTGTTTTCAATAATCAACTTTATCGATAATCAATGAAAACATAAACTTATTTTTTTTATTTGAAAAAAAATAATAATAAGGTGGCGTTTAGGTAGTCCTAATGTTGCCAATTAAACTGAAAAATGTCTCTTTCTGACATCTATTGGTGAATAATAATACTATTTTTTTTTTAATTGTAATCTGAATCTCGGAAACGGCTCTAACGATTTTCATGTAATTTAGTGCACAGAGAATTTCGGGGGCGATAAATCGATTTAGATTAGTATTATGTCTGAGAATCGCGTGTTTTCGAGTTTTCATGCAGTTTTCTTTTGCTATTACATGCAAAATATGGTCGGTAATTTGCACGCTCGGGAATAAGTATCGTGTTCAAGCGGCCAAGGTGCAAGATCAACAATCACAGGTTCGAATCTCGGCCGCATACAAAGTTTTTACTTTTATTTTTTTTTAATATTTATTAAAGTTTTTAATTTAAAAAAAAAAGACGCAAAATTGACTATCATAAGTGTCCGGGTTCGAATCCCGGTCGGATACAAAGGTGTAATTTTTTTTGTTTTTTTTTTTTGTATTTATTCAAGTTTTTAGTTTTTTTTTTAAAGAAAATTGTACTTTCTAACCAAAAACTCCGAGCGACGCTCTGTGGCCCAGGTACTGTATTATTATTTGTCGTATTTGTATTAGTATTGGTCTTTGTAGAACGAAGAACTGACGACTTAATATTTATTTTTGTTTGTTATTGTGTGAAAACTGTATGTTATTGAATTTAAAAAAAATCTTGTAAAGAAATATAAACAAAAGATTCTTAAAATACTTAATAGAGCTTCAAATAGAATGTAACAAACATCCTTGTAATACATTTTAATATTTAATGTACAACTTTGACCATGTTACAATTTTTTTATAATAAATAGCTTATTTATATATAAATTCACTGGTTTAAAAGTGGCAAGATATTAGATAGTCTATGACTATTCTCAATTAATAGGCTCAAAGACATTAGACTGATAATTACAGAGTTCCGGTTCATTTATGTTCAAACAAAAAAAAACATGAAACTCTTTATTTTGATATATTAATGTAGAGTGTAGATATAGATATAATCAACACATGCATGCTAAGTTGCATGTTAGATGGTACCACCTTGAACAGACTTGTACCCAAATATACTACAAAATAATTATCAGCATTTATTGTTCTACATTAAAAGCTATAGAATATATTGCCTATCAAATTCCTATTATGCAGTGAATATTAATATATAATCATCAATCAAAAAAGAATTTTTATGATTTCATTTTGACGACACATTTGGCTCGGCACATGTGACCCTACTTGCTATGCCAGCAGTTGCAGGTTCGAGTCCAGCTGGGGGAATTCATTTGTGTGATGATCATGAATGTATGTTTGCACAGTATGGGTGTTTATATTTATAATATGTATCATGAGTTATATATGTGTAATGTATTAACTATCTGGTATGTATGTATATATATATATATATATGAATTCTGTTATTATTTTTGAGTGATAAGTTTTACAAAATACATACATTTATAAACATGTATTAGGTCTATCAATATTTAATAGATAATATGTCAAATAATGAAAAGTTATGCAAATGAACTGTTATAAAAATATTGTTTTATTAATTTAAACTAAAATCTAAAATTACAATTGAATTACATAAGATCTCTGAAGCAATATAATTTATTGCTATAAAAGTTTTTATTAAGAGTTTTGTACATATAAATTTCGCCCAATAAGAATTGAACCAGGAAGTAATAACATATTAGCTAACTTATGTCAGTATGTTACAAAAAAAAAGCTAACAATCGAAAACAACAAGGAACTGAAAAGTAAAGGAGATAAATCACGACATTTGGCGCAACCAAGAACCGTGAACAATTATGCAATTATCAAAACAATAACCTTTCACTTTTGCATTGTTTTCGTACAATATACTTAATTTGTGCTACATTTTTGATAAAAATATTGTTCTTTACCTGCAGCGAAATGCAGAGGGGTAGATTTACGTCCAGCAGTATCCCTAGCGTTAACTGTTTGTGGTGTAATTAACTTTTTAACTCGAGCTACATCACCAACTTTGCAAGCTTCGAATAAATCACGAAGAGGATCCGAAGGAGCCGGCAGAGTGTCTAAGGCCGACCCGAGCATAGAACGGCGGCTCGACATGTTCAATAATCACATTTATCACTTCGTTTATTACACTTCCATGGTCGATTAAATAAAAATATCAGACGAAAACACGTACAATTACAGCTGCTTTTAGATTTGTTTGACAATTAAAATGTTGCCACTTGCCAGCCACAAATGACAAAACATCAAATCAAGATATTTAATTGCTAGAATATTTTTAATATCATTTTCACTTTGAAAACAGTACTAAAAATAGTACAGTCTTGTTCATTAAGTCAATTATTGAGATAATATAATTAGTAGCTGTTTATTAGCCTATAGGTAAAAAAATATAGAAAAATATTATGGAAATAATATAATAAGTCATTCTGTTTCGACTTTATTCCTAATTTTAACATTTCTATTGCCATAAAATAAAAGCTAAGTTTGTTTTAATTATAAAGTAATAAATACTTTTAAGTCAAATATTGAATAAAACAAAAATATATTAGATTTATTAATACAAACAAATATTTAATCTTGTAACGTGACATTTTCTAACATAGTATTCTATATTTTATTGTCTATGAACGTTAGTTGACGAAATCAAAATGGCGTCTTTCACAGGATAGTACATTTATCCGCCGCACACGGGATAGTATATAAAATTATTGTGATTTGACTATTTGTTTGTGCCTAAACCATTTGTGAACTTATATTGAGTGATTATTGTGTTATTTGTATACAACTTGTACCTGGTATTACAAATCAACGTATCCAAGTTTCCGCAAGGTATGTCCCCTTTCACTCATCGAATATTTTAGACGGATAATTGGCAATTTAAGAGCATAGATACATTGATAGATGAAGAATATTAAAACACAGATTTATTTAATGATATAAAATATTTTGATGCAGTCCGGAAACTGCGTTCTTTAGATCAGTAGGTGAGTCAGATGAACAGGTTTTTTGTCGAGGACGCGACTTGTAGGCGAGGCTGGGTCAAATCTTCACTTTTCATATCATTCATGTCTCACCAGCAACGTAGCGAGGCCTCGCATCGTGCAGTATGATTTTGTCGTTGGCCCGTCAACTCGGCTAATTGAATTAGCTAGGCGCGACCTCCGCAATTTCTCTAAACTCCAACCGTGTAATGCAGTGTTTGTGTGCATTTTCACTAGATTGAAGTGATGTGTGTGCTTTGAATACAATCTTGGATTATTTTTACTCTCAAAGTTAAAAGGTTAGTAATTACACTATAATCATACAGCTAAACAAAATAAAGAGTAAATTTCACTAAATACATTTCAATTATATTGTGTTAATTAAGTTAAAAATGTGTTATTTGTGTCAATGATGTTAACTACACTGTTTACTACACTTTTGTACCAGGTCAGCCACATTCCATGCTAATTTGCCTACAAATAGATTAAAATGTTTAAGAGAGTAAAATAAACCATCCTGCGAATAAATTATCAAAGAATATTAGAGGACAAAGATTTTGATAGAAAAGAAAATTAGTATTATATAAGTATTTAAATTTGTTTTTTGTTTATGTATATAAAAATGTGGGGTACATTAATTAACTTTTTGGTAAAACGAAGTAACACCTTTTATAAATAAACCAACACAATTGTGTTTGTGCGACTGATTAGTTGCACAAAACAAAACTATTATTATCTATCTCACTTTTAGCGAAATTAGCAAGTTCTAAAGTGTTTTACATAAAATTTTACAACTTTCTTCAGATGCATGGTTATCTGTAGATAACAAGATCAGATAATTGCATGTCTCACAACATGACATTATCAATAAGGTTAGATAAGATATACTAAACTGGGTTTCACATATATTCATAAACAATATTGTCTTCATTTTTTTCATTTTATACATTATTTTGCATGCTATAAGTGCAAATAAAGTATGATGAAGGTGGGTTTTAAAATTTTTAAATGTAAAATTTCAATATATCAGTATGTCTGTTTTTCTGTTCTACTGTAATGGAGCAAAGGATCTTTGGTTTTTTTTATATCTATACAGATAAATAAAATTGAAATGTTTGTAATGTCGAAATATCAGCTTTTTACTCAATATGTATGAAATTATTCATAGTACCTATAAGAAAAACATTTTTTTAATTTTTGACTGTCTGTCTGTTTATTTCGGCTAGTCTTCGAAGCGGCTGGACTTATTTTGGCGGGATTTTCATTGGCAGATAGCTGATGATATAAGGAGTAACTTAAGCTACTTTTATTTTAGGAACACAATTAGTGTTGATCTCAAAAAAACTAAAACATACATAGGGACACACTCAAGCGAAGCGAGTGGAAGTCTCTAGTTATAATAAGTAAATATACTTTATGGGCCAGAAGATGTTCAAAGTAATAAATTCTGTTAGAATCTAAATCTATTTAATAAAGTGATAACTAGACTCACCAGATACTAAAATTATTAAATATACTCTGTTGCTTTTAACTGTATGTTACCGAGATAATAATGTCCTGTTGATTATTTGCTATCGGAATTTTGTTTGCAAATTTATTATTTCATTCCATTATTAATATAATGCATTTTTTTTATCTTGCATGCAACAAATTGGTTTTTAAAATAATGAATCCACAGTGTTTTTATCGATTTTAATTTAATTATTGCTAACCTACCTTCGCTTATGTTTTGATAAGGCCTTAATTGCACATTTTTTTCATTAAGAATTGACTATATCAAATATATTGGTATACTTTTCTATTAAATATTTTAAATGTAAAAATTTGGATGGATGGAAGTTTGATACTCAATCACATCAGAACGGTTGAACAGATCTGGATGAAATTTGGCATAAAGATAAAGTATACTCTGGAGTAGCATATAGGTTACTTTTTATCCCGGAAGAATATACGGTTCCCGTGGGATAGATTTGTTTTTATTTTTCACTAGGGACGAACCCATGCGAGGGTGAATAGATAATATAAGATAAAAATCGGAGATGAATAAAGTTTTTGGAATAGGATATTAGATATTTTTGTTACGTAACGTTATCTCAGTCCTCAAAAGCTAAAAGCTTATTACGTCGACATTTACTGTATTCTATATCAACAAATATTATTTGCGGAACGCGTAACATATCGCGTAATAGCTAAAGTTGATTCTCCATTGCAGCTTAAGCTATATTTTTTTATACGTGCAAGTGCATTAAGTATATTTTAGGGAAATAAAATAATATTTTTATAGGAAGTAAGTATAGCGAAAGGCTGAGATAACTATGTAATTACTATGTTTTTAACCGACTGCAAAAAAAGAGGTACTCAATTAGGTATATGTTTTAGTGTTTGTTTTCTAATTGCGAAATAATTTTCATTATGGTGTTTTAATGCATACTAATTACCTAAGTCTAATATAAATTAAACCATCCTCAAGAAAACCTTCAACGTTAATTGTGGAAGCCACACACAGACCTTAGTAAAACAAATAATTAATGTGTCTAAGAAGTCATCAAATCGTAAAATCCGTAACGATTTTATATTGAAGCACGAAGGACGGATAGCTCTTTTCATATGTCTTATATATTTGACACTTTTTTTAAATACAACTATCTTTTCGGATTATTTCGCGGATTTATCTTGGTTTTTGGGTCCCGACGTTTCGAATGCTTTATAGCAATCATGGTCACGGGAGAGGCTAAGGTTATAGAGATCTCAAACAGATACACTTGTTACAGACAGTGCCTACCCACTATTACACAAAAATGATTTCAAACATTCAAAAATGGCAACAAAGTACCTTACAATATTTGTTGATTTTTATTTCTAAACATTTTAATTTTTTTATAATTATTATAAATTATAATTAAATATAGCAGTCTTATATATTTACTTTTAGCTGTTATTATTATAAATATTATATATTTTTTTAAAACTTTATTAATTACTAATATTATTTAGTGTTGCTATTATTATAATACTTATTATGTATAACCATAAAGAATATTAAAATATATTAAAAAAATATTAATATTAATTATTTATTTAAGCAATATTATTGTTTTATATGCAATGTAAAGGGAGTTAAAATATTAATTTTGATTGCTCTTATTTGAAGTTAAAATATTAAGCAACACTGTTGTTACCTAAGAAACTATTATATTTGTCTCTATTGTGTCTCTAGATAGGATTGAGCAGAACACTAATTATTTTTCTAAAATAAAAGTAACCTAAGGTACCCCTTATAACATTAGATATCTGCCAGTGAAACTCACGTCAAAATCAGACCAGCCGTTCGGAGATTAGCCGAAACAAACAGACAAAATTAAAAAACAATTTTTATTTTTCTTATAAGTGCCTTATAATTGCATATACATTAAGTAAAAAGCAGTTATTTTGAAATTACAAACAGACACTTCAATTTTATTTATCTTTATAAATGACACCGTAAATTCGATAAATATTCACATTAAATTTTGTCGCGTGCGGTGGACGCGATCCTTTCTTCGCACATTTATAGCGGTCCCAGAATTGCGATATTTATGATTAGGTGGGTTTTATTTCTTATCTCGCTTTTCCTTGACTTTATATTTTAGATGTTATTTTTAAAACTGACATTCAAAATCCAATGCAGATGCGGCGGATTCGTTACTATGAAATCAATTTGTTAATTTTTTACCCGACTGCGGGGAAGTGAAAGATGGATTATGAGTTGGACCTGTCGGAAACATGTGTATTTTAATACACACATTTTTTTACTTATAGAAATAAAAAAAACTCACTGATATTTTATATGTATAAGTAATATTAGAAAAACATTTTTTTTTAATATAATATAGATATTAAATAATGTTTTTTTTTTGTTTTGACGCACTTTTCCTTCTCTCATACCTACTTAAGTTTTTATCAATGATGTTTTTTTTTGTAAAATGAACGCTAAATTGCCTTGGCCTTGTGCAAAGGTGCCATTTTTAACAAATGTCATGTATAATTTTATATTCACACACGAAGCTGAAGTGTTAGCTTTTTAGTTTGTTTGGAATCTATAAATATAAAATAATTTCAAGAACTGCCACTTTC